TATAATTTAAAATACTGAAATACATCCACAGCTTTTACATATGTGATAGAATTGGGTAAACATTTAGATCTGACTGTTACCGTGGGTGTTAACAGGACTAAAAATGGAGTTCGTATATATTTATAGCAATTCGCTCTCTCCCCTTCCCACCATCCATCCCTTTTGCATGGAAATAGTGTTGACTTTTTGGTTGAAAACCGAAGAAGGGTATTTGGATTTGTATATTCTGTCCGGAAATAGAAAATAAAATTAAATATTAACTTATTGTGTATACTTTACCGACTTTAGCTCGCAAATGGATTTATCAACGAATTAACGAATGAAATAGACAGTATGGGATCATCTAATTAACATCGAATATAACTCACCCCTTATTGTTATGAAAGTTTTCCATGAGGAGTAAACTTCATAACATTGGTACTCTTGTAAATGTAATATTCCCAGTAGTTCTGTTGTCATTGAGGTAATAATGTCTTGACCCAACTGGTATGGTATCATGAAACTGAACAAACTTTTTACAGTCAGGCCATGAGTTTCCAAATTCTACTGCTAATCTCGCAAGTACGGAAGATAATGCATCAGTTTTAAAAATATATATAACGTTTAGGTCCATGCCTACATCGATCTTTTTTTAGCGGGATGTCTATGGGTGTAGTGAAGAAAAGTAAAGCAAAATTTTGAACTATATAAAAACAAAATGAAAAAGGATCTGTGTTTTAATCAGATTGTATTGGGAACGGTCAGACATATTCCCAGATGCTAAACGTGACCTTCATACCTTTAAGAATTTCTGCACATTCAAAACTAAAGAAGATGTAAATGAAGTTTTGCTAACCAACTGCCCGTGCATATTATTAATTAAGAAATTCAGTGTATAGTTTGAAAACACAAGGTGAACATATATAGGTCCCATATTACAAAATTTACATTTTCTTTACGGTATTGGTGATTTTTCTTCCGAGTTTTACGCTAAAACGTCGTACTAAATTATGGTAGGCTATAACTACTATTCGTAATTTCTAAAATTCGCCCCTTCAGAACGCGAAAGTCAAAAAATCGAAAAGTAGAAGTTACGGCAAACTGTGAGGCGACAGCACGCTACACAAGCCAAAATCGACTGGAAATAGGACATTAAGAAATAAACACACCGTGATAATAGCGCCCCTCGTTTTGTTCTTCTTTTTGACTTGCATTTTGTCTTGTGTATGCGTGATGTCGACTTTCGACTTAGTCATATTTTTTTTATTTATTCATGTCAGTCATATTTTTTATTTATTCATGTCAGTAAGAAGGCACCAACACGCATACCAGGCCAAAGTGCAACTCGAAAAGTAGAAATTAGGAAATTAACACACCGCGATATTAGCGACCTGTCATTTTGGCTTTCGCCTCGGAAATTGTTATAGTCTCTACATTCCAGGCCACATTTGAATACGTGTAATTTGCGTTAACAAAATGGCCTGTGTGATAGAGTCTATGGTAGTTATAGGCTTCTATACTAAACAATACAAAATATAGTAATTGAAAATTAATAAAGATTTTGAATCTGAACTTATTTTTGTGTTTAAGACATATTTATGTACAAACTGTCATAGAAATGTATCTACATGTATAATTAGCCTGTAATTACTTATGAAAGGGGGTATTTTGTAACAAAGGGAAATTCATGCATAATGATACGATATTAGGTCTGTTATATACAATTGTCAATTCTCTAGACCGTATGCATGCTTTGATTTTATATCTTAATTATACTGCCTGCTCTACCCTACCGGTCAGATCTAAAAACATTGACATTGACGAAATTTACCGGTGGCCTTAATATTTAGATCTAATTTGCTCTCTACCCGGGGGATCACGTGGCTAAGTGGTTAGACGCTAGCTCGCTAGCCTGGAGGTTGGGTGTTCGATCCCTGCATTGGCCGAGAAAGTTCATCAAGATTTTCCGGCGTGGTTCCCCCTTGTCAGTGATGCAGGTCGGAGGGCCTGACAAGGACAGCTGTCTAGTCCTTTGGATGAGACCAAAAACCAAGGTCCCGTGTATACATTGGAATGCACGTATAAATCCCTTGGCAGTTGGAATTCGATATAAGAGTAGGCGATAGTGCCGCTACCCGGGCAAAATTTCCCTCATAGAACACTGTATGGCGTATGCCCGTCTTCATTAGCCCAGTATAGGAGCAGAACTGACTTCATGGGAAATAACGTTGGCGGTTTGAGTAGGTTCCCGGTACCCCGAGCACAAGAATACTTTAGAATTTCGGCATACCCTATAACAGTGGGCCTGTCGTCTACCCGAGTCTCCGCCGACTAAGAGCGTACTCAGAATAGGATCTTAAAAGTAAACTGTCCTGTCAATAATAACACGAACACGACACATATCGGAGATTAAGGAAACCAATTAGTGATGAATACTGCAATTGGTGTTCAATGTTTGGGAATGTGTACGCCCTTGCGCATTGTGTTACAAGCGTGATGTCTACCTAAATAAGTTACTTTTCATTACAGAAATAGTATCGAATTCGTGTTATTACCAATTGGAAAAATGCCTCGCTGGACGTAGTCGAACTTTTCAAATCGCCATGAGAGACAATTGATAGAGAAATAGTTTTAAAGATGCATTTTGTAAGAGCTAAATCTGTCTAATGCAGATCTTTCGTTTGGCCTCAAATGTTATATCAATCATTAATTAGACATTTATTCACATGTCAAGCCCAAAATCAGCTCTCTAGAACATCGGATGGTTTTGTTTTCAACGGATTTAAACACGATTGCCAGTTAATAATTTAATTTAAAAAAAGGATAATCGGGACTTTGTTTATTATCGCAACAACGATAGCAATGACAATCGGGCCTTAACTCCGCTCAGAATGAAGTAATTTGACTGACATTTTCAATATATTTCTCTTTCCTTACCTATTTTTCACGTGTCAGCTCTTTATCTAAATCTTACATAATGCACCTTTAAGTTTTGTGTTTGAAACCCAACCCACTTAAAACAGCTTTACGGTGCCGTTAATATGTAATATAACATTCGCCTGGGTAAAATCTATGTTCCGTACTAATCATAAAAGAAAGGAATAGACTTCTTGATTGTGCTCTCATAAACCATTGAGGCACCAATTTATTGCAGCATAGTTTGTGCTGATCGTATCTTATGACCATGAATAATGGGTATTGCCATTCAAATTCGGTATTATACCAGGAGTAAGTTACAAGCCAATCTATGGACTGAAATGGGTTGAACATCTCGACGACATTTTTAATTGCCATGGTAAAGTGTGCAGGGCGGCGGATTTTGCTCGGTTAGCGACGTTTCTGCTGATTTTTCTTCCATTTACAGCTCTGCCATTGTTTCCTTTACGTGCGCGTCAAATAATGTACACCAGTTGTTGATTCAGTTCGATTGAATAATTAGTCCTACTCCCACAGGTACCACCCTGGAAAGTGAGAACGTGACATTTTTCTTGGTCCATGGACCATTTTGGTTGGGAATTCTGGTCCTCTGGAGTATATACGTATATAGTCAAGAGTGTTGTATCTTAAAATATTCTGTAATATTATTTGGGACCTTTATCAACCATTTCCAAGTAATAGCATGCCACTTGCCTTCATGTCTGGCATTTTAACGTGTTTTTGTTTTTCTTCACACTAGACCATTGTTCTAGAAACCCTTAGAGCCAAAGGAGCTTCATAATATAACAAATTTCAAAGAAAACCATTTTTAGCCACGAATAGGACTACAGAGCAATGTCCTGCCAATAATGAAAGCTATATAAACTCCTACATACATTGTTGAGTCAGAAATAATTTTCTTTTGATACTCTTACTTTTTCCCCGCCGGATATTTTAGCGTAAAGCATTGAATCCATGCTTAGACATACTTTTTAACTTTATTCTTGTTCGAAAGACAGCTAGTATATTTGACATTTAGATTAAAGAAGAGTTTCTTTTTTAATATAAAAAATAGATAATTTGTCATCTTCTTGAAGCTTATTCCAATTATTTTAGGATTAAGTTTCACATATGACTGCGAACCTCAGATTTTCTGAAACCAGTTAACAATTAAACTATAAAAAACTAATCAAAGATATACAATGTGAGTGATAATAAAATAAAGTCCCGTTGCGTTATTTTAGCGCAATATGAAACCCTTGCAAACTACGATGTTGTGAAAGTTGAACGCCTAATAGGAATTTCGGTTTCAAAATGGTTCAATACCGTTCAGTATTTACAAAGATATGTTGATTTGAAATTTCATCGATCTATGCCATTGAATCCAAGCCAGGAAGTTATCTAGCTATGGTATCTTGATTTTGTTTCCTTAATTAAATGTTACACAATCAATCTGAGTACATATTAGCTTGGATTAAGCTGTTGGAAATTTGATATTTTAGCGAAAAATGCAAACTATTGCAACGTTTCTTAAAAGGGGCATTTTGTAAGATTTATATATAAAGAGCTGTCTGTTCTCGCCATAATATTTCAAAAATAGATAACGCAAAATAAATATATTGAAAATTTCATTCAGATTACTTTATTTTGAGCGAAGGTATGAATGGTTGTAGTTTTGACAAGATGTGTGCGTTGATCGTATTACCATACTGTTCATTCGAGTCTTAGCCTCGCTTCTCCGTTTATAAATCAAATCATTAAATGCCTGAACCGTTCTAATCTACTTACAATAGAAAGATTCGAGAGTTGATTATGGTCTTGTCATGTTAATAGATGTCTAATTAATAATTCATATATAACATTTAAGGCCCAAAGAAAGACCCGCAACAGGTGCCCGTTTAAAAACAAAGAGAGGCCAACTGTCGTCTAACCATATTGAAATTTACTTATTTTGAACCACGATTCGATTTATTTTTATTTTAGAGATATAACCTTAACTAAGAAGTTATCTTATAAAATATCCACTGTCGTCCAACTCTGTACATATTGAATTTATCTTATTTTGAATCACGTGACTAAATGGTTTTTTTTCCTTTTTTTTATAGATGTAACCATATCACAGATATCGGAATCGGCTACATCTCGACGATGACATCATTACAGAGATTATATTTGCGATGGAGTCAGATACGAGATTTTGGATTACAACATCTTTATTCCATGAGGAGTCTAGTTATTCTCTCTTTAGCAGGTAAGCATTTGTTGTATCATGATCGTGTGTGTGTGGGGGGGGGGGGGCGAATGGTTAGCGCGTGTGTGTTTTATCATAAGGTCTATCATTTAGTCAACTGGCTTGGTTTCGATTCCCCGGTAGTACGTGACAAGGACAAGGAGTAGGGTCGCTTGTCCAACCTCGTGGGTTTACTCCGGGGCCCCCGGTTTCCCCCCACTGCTAAAAACCCCTACGCACAAGCGAATTATTGAAATAAACCCCATCTCTCTCTCACTCTCATGACCGGTAGCATTATCTTTTAATCAATGACCTAACTGATGTTCAATGCCCCACGGAAAATAAACTTATAGACATAAATGCCACAATACAGGTCTCTGTTTTGCGTTTCAGCCATTGTTCCAGTCGGGGCAGAACAGCAGGACGTTAAACCCCATTTCATTTCATTTCAGCCATTGTTATCTGAGCGCTTGCATTTCCCCCACGTTGTACGACAACGTTAGCCCTGACCTACGTTTCTGTAACAACCGGGCTAATGAGGACGGGCATGTGCCATGCAGTATGATTACATTTTGTTAAACGGCCTTGATAGTAGAATTATGTCTTATATCGTCCATGGGATTTTTCTTGGTAGTTTCCATAATTTATAATTTCTCAGCAATAGTATATCACTAATCGCACATATCTAGGATAGTATGGGAGTCACGGTGGCCAGTGAGGTAACGGTTTCACCTGGGTTCGCTCCCGGTGTTGGTCGCAGTTATTTTATATAGTCACCTTATATACATTTGGTATATTTAAATAATGTGCAATACAGTCAGCGGTAGACTCATATGGAACTATTATTAAATAGAACAAATAATACTAAGTAGAACAAAAATACTAATACTAAGTAGAACAATTAATAATACTAAGTGGAACAAAATAATAATAAATAAAATAGAAAAATATGTAAACAAATTTAAGAAATATAACGCCAAATCCAGGATTTATAAGAATAATAAACATCCGAGTTGTTGAAAATGAAACGCCTTCTAGCGGATTGTTTTATAAAGACAATGGGACAATGAAGTAACACAACAAAAGAATTCTCAGATGTTATATTCGTGAAGCGTATATAGATATACTGCTGGTGCTTTTTCACCCAAGTAAAATAGAAACAAATATGTAAACAAATATAAGAAATGCAACGCCAAATCAATGATTTATACGAATAACAAACATGCCGGATTATTGAAAAGTCTTTATCAGGGTCCTTTACGCCGCTGCCTGAGCATAGAGACGACCATAACATTAATGCTCACGCTCTCGTCAGATCTTATTCTGTTCTGGCTGGTAGCCTACCGAAAAGGAAACAGATGGTATATATGAATACATGAAAAATAATAGATCAAACTAAGGAACTACTTTTAGCAGTTGCATAGTCTATTACTCGTTCTGCTCAAACTGACTAATAGGATTTACATTATAATAATTATGATTTTATACCTGCCTCTGGGATAGAACGGTATTTAATACGTTCATTACTCGAGGCAACGACCATGCAATATGCAACCAATAATATCAAAACAGCAATTAGAAGTGCCGTGATTAGCTATATAATGAATCAATCAGTATACGTTCAACCGAGCAGATTTTTAGATCTCAGAAAATTTACTCTCTAGAATGCCGACAGACATATTGGGATATTCGATTTCTAATTAATGATGATATGATATATATCTTGGTGTACAAGTAGGGATTTACAATATAAAACTATGTGAATTATTGACGATGAATGAAAAGCTTGCAGCACATTCTATAACCCTATAATAGATTAATTGACTGGCTTGGCGCTGACTTTTTCTCACCTCTAGCAATTAATTCAAAATCTTTCTCCATTTTTATCTAATTGAACAGCTAAATATGTCATATTCCTCGAGAATTAATTAAATATTAGTAGTAATACCACTGTGGGACATCTTTATTACCTTTTCGTCTGGTTATTCCCCTCGGCAATCGCGACTTCAGAGCGCTATATATATAAAGGGCGGGACAATTTACTACATGCTTGTCATTACTCGTTTACTAATCCATTTCTACAGACTGTTCAGAGTCATAATTGGAGTTTAAACCGAAGGAAATCAATGCATTTCTTTGATGTACAACTAAGAGCTTTCATACAAACATTCAAGTCTAATTATAGAAGTAGAAATACTCGAATGATACGCGTATTAACACAAAATTATAGACCGGTAGCAAAAAGAACACGCAGACGACACACGTTCATGTAACGGTAATTGAATATTTTGTATCTGGCGGTTTGCATTATCGATTCCAGAGAAATTTCTTCACTAGAACTGTAGACTAGTCTACAAGCAGAAAATTCAGACAAACTTAAAAGCCAAATCTTCTCCAGTGATCAGCGTCCTCATCATTAAAAGAAGCTTATAACATCGTTAAAATCTTCTCTTTCTGTCTAATTTGGCTATAGTAAAAACAATTTAGATTGGCATCCATCCACTCATAGAGCAGGAATGTATTAAGTAGACTGGTGTTGAAATTTTAAAGTGATTTAAACCAAGATTAGATATTTGTTAATTTAAACGAGATTTCATTTCCTTTTCATATTAAAACTTTTTTTAAAAAAGAAAACTTAAACTCCCCTTTACTCTTTAAGGAAGACGTGTCTTGTAACTGGCATTTAAATTAGAAATATCAACGTCTGGTTAGGTCCTAAATTGCCTTCTCTTTCAGTCTAGAATAATGTGTATTTCCATGTGTCTGATGTGTATAGTATACGTTAAGTGATGGTTATAACGGAGCCATTTCAAGTACTATCAAACGATTCATAAGAGTAAAGATTTTTTCTTATCGTAAAACATTCTACATGTTAAATTAATGAACCAAATAACGTCTACTCAACGGTAAGATATCTACCAATTTTCGCGGAAGAAACGAAAGCAAATCGATTAGTGAAGTGTTTAGAATCTCTATCCTATATAAGTTTTTTCTCTGTATTCGTAAGAAGTCTTGGCATTCTAATTGTGAACGTGCTCGAGCATTCGTAACATGATCCAATCAAATTAATCAATGAACATGGGGCTCTTTTGTATTATTCGGACTGAAATGGGGTATTTCAATTCTATAGTAGAACGGTCAACTACAGCTGGATGATGGAGAACAATTGAAATGTCCGTTCTTTAGCTTTGATTATCCAACCAAAAGAAATACCATTAAGGTTGTTGATCAAAATAAGACACGGTTAATTTGTCTGGTACTCTTACTTCACGGACATTTAATTAAATGTATTTGGAAGATTTCAAAAACAGAGGAAAATTCGGGGCCGGATTAAGCGTGTCTGTGGCCCCTAGCAGAAACTGTCATGGGTGCCCTTCCACTCAACTGGACTTGTGCGACAATTCCTGTGCATGCCTTGTCTAGCTGCGAAAATTGTATGTCCCCTTTGTTAAAATCTACTGTAACATATGACATATTTATTTATTTAGAACTAATTTGGGGGTCCCTTGACCGACAGCCCAATCAGCACCCGTTTTATCCGGTCCTAGAGGACGATTCATTTAATAATTACCATTAAGAACGTGGGATTGCTTTTAAATGCTGATATCAGAATGTTGGCTCAGTTATGACGTTCTTTTTTATGCGTCCCCCTATGGTTTTTTTTGGTGCTGCCAACTTGCGGCTTTAACCGAGATAATGACACTTGGGTAAAACAATAAAATGAAATGAAATGGGTTTAACGTTCTCTTCTACACCAATCAGGCATACCACGAAGGACGTTTTACCCGGACATTTAGGTAAAGACTACTGTATCAATGCGACAGTAGCGGAGCTTGTTTTTTAAACCAAAGACAATGGCGAAGGGCACATGAAGTAAAATGGATTTTTCGCCGAGTGGAGTGAAGCACGAAGTTTCTTGTGACATTACAATCGTTTCCTCCAATTTACATAACATGACATGCAAGAGAGGCCCTAGGCTATTCCACTTAAGATGCCCCTACCAATTCCCCATTCTTATGACTAGAGAAAGATGAAAGAAGTGTGTTTTAAAAACAATTTAATGAGCTCAGTCGCGGATGATGACATGTTTAAGATTAAACTGCTTATAACAGTGTAAAAAATATTATACACCATGGCCGGGAGACCCTTAGATCTCGGGGCCATGGGCTTCTGTCTGATAGATAAGCCTGTAGGTAAATCCGACACTGGATGTAAATCAACCAAGCATGGTTTAAGGAATAGCGGTAAAGATTAAAGCACATCTAAGGACTATGGAATTTATAACATACATCTATTATGCAGTATGTACTACTTTACCTTTTTACGTTGTTGGCAATTGTAGATGTCATGAAAACTAGTTAGATGACTTTTATTCTCAGAATAAGCAAGAAAAAATATGATACAGAAATTGTGATGCAATCTGAAATGATTCATCCATCTGACGTATTCCGAGTAGATAAATTGGATGGAAAAAGAAGTTATAGCAATTACAGTGCCGTGCTATTTTTCCCCAATTTTGTTACTAATACAGGGCTATAACTCGTCCTTGTAAATGATGCCAACACATACATCGTTTTTGTTGTACGTTTGTTAACACGAACGGTAAATTGGTAAGTGGAACCCATTACAAAACATAAGATGAAATTTTATTTTACTAAAAGATTCAGTAAAGACAGCATACAATATATATATAAACATGAACATAAATAGTTACATCCATGTATTGCAATGGGGTTTAACGCCCTATACATTTCTGCACCGACCGGGATAATGATAATGGGCATACACCAGCGCTACGGTCTACTTTTATTTCAAACTACTGTCAAAGGTTATTTTACACGTGCACACCAACGTGTACACGGGATTGCGGTTTTTAGTTCCAACCGAACAACTAGACCCTCAATCCTGCATCGACTGACAAGATGTATTCATATATTATCATGAATTCTACCTTTATGTTTTTCAGGTTGTGTCCACATAACACCCAATGGTTTATATGGTTTAACCAGACTTTACCAGTTACAGGAACTCGAACTCACCAATACACCTTCTGCTACTAAAGGTGTTGGACATTTTCTTCGTGAAAATTTACCTCGGTGTATTGTTTTAGAATAACATACGACGGTTGAATGGCTTCATCTCCACTTTTGAGCCCATATAAAACGAGAACATATTCTACAATGGCGCACTTTCGGTAAAAGACAATTTACTTTGACCAGACCTGTTGTGATTTACCAAGATTTTCTTTGGGGCATTGCGTGATGAATAAACAACTGACATTCTTTTAAAATAGTTTGTGACAAATAAACCTTTTTATGTGTGATTTTCAAAGACAAATGGGCGCTGGGCCGCAACCCTTTTTTCATGTTCAACTTAACAAATACTCATATTCATTTTCGTAATTGATCCTTTGTGTAGAATACAAAAGCACCAAAACATCGGATCAACTCAAGTTCTGTGTTTTAGCGGCATTTTTTTTAGCTTCAGCTACAACTGTTTTACACTAGGCTTGTTCGATTTTTTTCGAGTTTTCCCTCCTTTGGTGTCATTTCTTTCATTTGGAGTGAGTCTGTATCACTACAGACAATGCTATGGACGCTACACAGTAGTTATGGCTTAAGTTAAGGCATAAAATACACATTAGTTGGGTTGCGTACAACCACCCAAAACCTATTATTTGGGCTGTGTTGATGTAATACCGTAAAAAGTTATCTGAATTGTACATTTTCGACCAGTGCTAGAAACTGTTGAGCAAAACTTAAGTTTAGCTAGAAAAAAGGGGCCCATGTTCTATAATATTGATTTTGACCAAACATATTCCTAAGTTCTTATTAAATGTTCTGTGACTTTCATTCCCCTTAACGTTACTGTTCGAGGCTCAATCAAACCACTATAGATATATGAATATTATATGTGTTATATTTATATTGTTAGTATAAATGTTGTTTATTAATTTATTATGTTTTACTGAGTTTTAAAGTCATGTGTGATAGACAAGTCTATAGACAATTACAACCAGGCTATTTTCAGTAGGTTCTCGATTAGATTGTAAATATTTAACTTTTTGTGGAGGTTTAGTAGCATAATGAAATGTGATTTTAGGTTGTATGCACCTGGCTTAATTTTTTTCTTTTTGTTGCCTAAACCATACTTTTTTTTCAAATATGCATTGCTTAAGTTGTACTATATTGAAATATTCAAGCTGGAAATCATACCTTATGGAATGTTCTTGCTGAAGTCATATTTGACAGGTATTAAAATTTTAAGCTACAGTCATACTTATGGAATGTACTAGCTAAAGCTATACTTTTCTGCTACTGAAATATTCCTACCTGAAATCATACTTTATGGAATGCCCTAGCTGAAGTCATATTTTACCGGTATTGAAATGTTCAAGCTAAAGTCATACTTTATGGAATGTCCTATAGCTTAAGTTATACTTTATTGTTACTGATATATTCAAGCTAAATTCATACTTTACAGCATTTCCTAGCTTAAGTCATACTTTAAGGAATTTCCTAGCTGAAATCATACTTTTTGAAATTTCTTAGCTGTATGGAATTTCCTAGCTGAAGTCATATTTTACCCCTATTGAAATATTCAAGCTAAAGTCATGGAATTTCCTAGCTGAAGTCATACCGATAAGTCATACTTTATTTAACATTCAAGCTAAAGTCATACTTTATGTAGCATTCAAGCTAAAGTCATACTTTATGTGACAGTCAAGCTTAAGTCATCCTTTATGTAGCATTTAAGCTAAAGTCATACTTTATGTAATATTAATATTCAAGCTAAGGTTATACTTTATGGAATGTTCAAGCTAAGGTCATACTTATGTCTTATGTAATACTCAAGCTAAAGTCATACTTTATTGTATAGTAAAGCTAAAGTTATACTTTATGGAGATATTCAAGCTAATGTCATACTTTATGGAGATATTTAAGTAAGTCATACTTTATGGACATATTCAAGCTAAAGTCACACTAAATTATTCAGGGCCAATTCTTGATTGGGAGGGGGGTGGGGTGGTCGCTACCATCCTAGGACTTTAGGCAAGGGCCCAAAGTTGTGGACACTCTAGAGGTCACAATACGATTTTGATGATACTGGCAATGTATGTTTATACCCTGTCACCATTACACCATAATTGCGTCCGAGTTCAAATGTCGCGAAAATCGGACCGAAACTGCCCAGCAAAATGGCCGCTACCCGTAAAAGCATGCATTACCCAGGTTGTGGGCCATCCAGAGGTTAGAATTTCATCCAGTTTTGATATATCCCAAATGTCTGGGTTCCTTTCGATATTGGCGCGTATTGGGCTTTAACTTTCTGAATTAATGTCCCTCATTGTACGAAATATCACGTTTTTAGTTTGTGGACTCTCTACAGGTCACCAATTTTATCTTATTTTCAAAACCGTTCAAATATATCACCGTTACATCATAGTTATGGTTGAGTCCGAATTTCCGAATCTCCCCTTTACGCAAATAGTATAAAAGCATGTAATGACAAAGTTGTGGACCATCTAGAGGTCAGACTTTTTATCCGATTTAGATGAACTTAAATCGAGTATCACTAGCTCTTTGATGAGTTCAGTTTTGGTGCCCATGTGAAAGAGCTTTATTGAACGTCCGCGTTGTATCATAAGGTTTGTCATTGAGTCAGCTGGCGTGGTTTCGATTCCCTGGTTGTACATGACAAGGAGTAGGGTCGCCCGTCTGCAGCTTCGTGGGTTTTCTCCGGGCCCTCCCACTGCTAAAAACCCCTACGTGCAAGCGGATAATTGAAATAAAATTTGACCATATTTTAGTCCCTAAATGACCTAGTTTGTGTCGAGTGGACGTTAAACCCCATCTCTCTCTCTCTCTCTCTGTGTTCGGGATTTTGATAAATAAATAGCCAATTGAATCACATGAAAGATGTTTTGTTTAAAATTTTAAAACTAAAAATTTTTGAACTTGAAGCTTTTAAACGATGCAACCATGTACTTTTGGTTTTTGAATTAATCTTTTTCCTGAAGAAATAATAAAAATTTTAACAGGTGTAACAAAAAATTAAATTGGTATGGTCTTCATTAGTAATGTAATTTTTACTTTCTTATTATCTGGTAACTATAATAAGTGTTTCTAGTCATAATCTTTTGTGCTTTAAATAATTTTACAACACTGTATTTTTCTCTTCTTAAACATAAAAAAATACTTGCCTTAAGAAACAGGTTAAAGAAAAGTTAACTTAGTCAGTATGTAAATATATTTTTTCTTATAAACATGTAAAAACTAGTCATATCAAGTAATTGTATTTTTTTGTCAGTAATGCACCATATTTAAAATGGAAGTTAATGTGCATTAATTAGACTGGTGTACATAAGAGCAATATACGATATGAAGAACTACTGAATATGATGTAAAAAACCATAACTGTAATGTGAAAAAAATACCCTGAAGATGGAAACTTGGAAATATTGTTTATGTTCATGTAATTACTTATTTACAAATAAATGAAAAATAAACATGTCAATAGCACTAATTAAAGATTTAGAGTTTAAACGCTGCCCTGGCACTTTGGTGTACATTTTTGATGAGGGCAGAGTTCAACCACTGCCCCTAGCAATCTGGTGTACATTTGGGATGAGGGCCTAGTTCAACCGCTGCCCTTATACCCTGGTGTACTTGTTGAATGAGGGCATAGTTCAACCACTGTCCCTGACAATCTGGTGTACAGTTGAGATGAAAGCTTAGTTCAGCTGCTGCCCTTGATGCTTATGTTCAACTGCCGCTCTTGCACTCTGATGTATATTTGCGACGAGGGCATAGTTCAACAACTGTCCCTGACAATCTGGTGTACATTTGGGATGTGGGGGCATAGGTTAACCGCTGTCCTGGGACACTGTTGTACATGGGACTGGATGTATCCAAAGCTGACCTGGGGCACTGCAGTACATTTTGAATTGGTAATTATGGTTCAAAGCTGCTGTCCTGACGCACTGGTGTACATTTTGGATTGAGTGTATTGCAACTGCGGCTCTGGACACATTGTTGTACATTTGAGATTAGGGGTAGTTCAATCACTGCCCTGACACATTGGTGCACCTCTGGGACTGAGTGTAGTTCAGTCACTGCCCTGACACATTGGCGTAGCTCTGGGTTTAGGTGTATTTCAATCAATGTCCTGACACACGGTGGTGTGTTGGATGGCCGAATGGTTAGCACGTGCGGGCTGTATCGTAAGATCTGTCATTGAGTCAGCTGACGTGGTTTCGATTACCCGGTTGTACTTGCCAAGGAGTAGGGTTGCCTGTCCAACCTCGTGGGTTTTCTCCGGGTCCTGCACTGCTTAAAACCCCTACGCGCAAGCGAATTTTGAAATAAAATTGAACCATATGTTTAATCCCGAAATGACCTATTTTGTGTCGAGTGGACGTTAAACCCATTCTCTCTTCAGCTCTGTCCCGGCACATTGGAGTAGGACATCTGACCTGGTACATCAGTGTACAGTTTGTCATTCTACTTCCACCCTTGGCGTGAGCTTGTTTTCATTTGGAGAAAAGTCTGTATCACTACAGTCCTATGATTTTACAGCACACCGGACACTTGATGTGTTGATTTCTTTCGTGAGGTGAGTATATGATTGACATTTAATATTTCAGGTCCACAGATAAAGATAAAGCCGATTTATCGACATTTTTTTCCAAAATGAAACTAAAATTTGTAAACAAACTGACTTCCGCTAAATATTTCAAAATGAAATGGGTACACATCGCGACTGTGTATGTGGTAATTAAGGAATTAACATTTATAATATGCATTGGGTCACTGTGACGTCACGGTTATCTCCACAAACTTAGACACCCATATCTCAGACAGTGAAGTAGATTAATTAACACAATCTCCATAGATATAATGGAACAGTCGGCTAAATCTAGTTGTTAAGGCCAGCTCAATTTTTGTCAAGGTCGCTGAGATGTAAATAAGGTTAGGGCACGTGATTGGTGGCGAGATTGTAGGTTAGGGTTAGGGTACGCACTGGGGTTAGGTCCAGGGTTAGGGTTTGGATTAGCGCTAGCCTTGTTTACATCTCGTGACCTATGACGAAAAATTGAGCTGGCCTTATCATTTAGCACTAACCTGGAACAGCTTCCTGAAATGAAATGAAATGGAGTTTAACGCCCTACTGTTCTGTTCCGAACTGGGCTAATGAAGACGGACATACGCCATACAGTGTGCTATGAGGGAAATTTTGCCCGACTCTTATATCGAATTCCAACTGTCAAGGGATCTTTTACGTGCACGCCAATGTGTACAGTACACGGGACCTCGTTTTTTTTGTCCCATCCGAACGACTAGACAGCTGCCCTTGTCAGGCCCTCCGGGAACAGCCTCCTGATTTGTGTACTCACTCAGTTAATCACGGGATGTGTTTATTGGAAAATATTTGACGTCTGTGCTCATTGAAAATCGCTACATAATGTTGAATGAATACAGAATAGGTTTAGTTTGTTAGTTTTGTGTCTCCAATCTTGTAAAGTAATTAAAACAATGTTTTTAAATTATTTCCTTTATGATATGTTTTGAAATTATTTTCTTTAATTTTATAAATCTTTTACTCAAATAAAAACATAAGGCACAGTTGAAAAGTTTCTTTTGTTTTGTGTTGGGTATATAAAACGCTGCATCAGGTATGCATTATGTCAGTATGATACTATGATAGCTCAATGACGTCTATAAATAGACGTCTATTGGTATGGCTGGATAAAGCATCAAACGGAAAGTAGAGATTCGCGCATGCGCGTTGATAGCAAGGTGAACTCTGCTACTAACATCTACATGCAGGTCTTTCTAAACACTCATACAGTGTAGGCCTACATTTTCCAGGAAAATGAATAATATAAAGTATTCCAATAGGCTCATTATATTTCTCTGCAATAGATTGTGTAGGAAGACCGCTTATCCTTTTCGTGAAGAACACGTAGATCTATATTGGCGAAAAGCGTCATTTTCCTTCAGGCACTTCCATACAACAAGTCAAACTCAAAGGTTGGATTTAGATGACAAACCAAAAGTGAAAAGACCAAGAGCACAAACAACAATAGATGAAGAAGAAATTAAAAGGTTTTCAGCATTAGCTCAACTCTGGTGGGATGAAGAAGGTGAATTCAATGCATTGCATACCATGAATGAATTACGTGTTCCATTAATTGTAAATGCTTTAATTGAACAAAAACAAAAAACTGGTGCTGAATCTCATCGGTTTAAAGCTCATAGTCAACTAGAAGGTTTTAAGATATTAGATGTTGGCAGTGGTGGAGGTATATTATCAGAGCCTTTAGCAAGATTAGGAGCTTTTGTTATAGGTGTTGATGCTTCAGAAGAAAATATTAAAATAGCCCAAGCTCATGTCATTCGAAATGAAGAATTGGCTTGTAATATTAAATATATCTGTGCTACTGTGGAAGATTTAATTGAGTCAGAAGAAAGGTCATTTGACTGTGTGATTGCATCAGAAGTAGTTGAACATGTACTGGATACATCAATGTTTATAAAAGCATGTTGTAAACTTGTCAAGCCTGGTGGATCAATGTTCCTGACTACATTAAATCGAACCAACCTATCCTATCTATTAGGTGTTGTAGCAGCTGAACGATTATTACGGATAGTAGAACCTGGTACACATGACTGGAATAAATTTATATCACCTCAAGATTTACAATATCTTCTAGATCAGAATGGTTTTTCCACAAGATTGGTGCATGGTATGATGTTTAATCCTATAACTAAAAGATGGAGCTGGACAGAGAATACTAGTATTAACTATGCAATGCATGCTGTATGTACAGATAAAGCTCTACAGGAAGATGGACAAACATGATAAATAGTTTTAACTATGCACCATCACCTGAAAACAGAACTTGACATTAAAACTGCTACATTAAAAACAGAAAAAAAGGTACACAACACGTTGTACGTGATGGTTAGTCTACCTCTACAACAGAAAGCAGACTTGCACACACTGGAGATGCCTCATCACTGCATGCTCTGGCAAGTCCATTACTGTTGGTGACTTGTCACAATATCAGCGGACATGTCTTTCCCCAAGAAGATGCCAAAGTCGAGTTTCTCAGAGTACACTATGTAAGAGAGCAAAAGAGGAAACTACCCAGATGCACACACTCAATGCTATAATATTATATGTGATTGTGTCATATGTGACTGTGTCATAAAAAATACAAATTAATTATATATCAATAATATCAGTAAAAAATTTATCTTGTCTTTCTGTTGGACTATTATTTAGTAAAGGTAACAGCATCTCAATATGCTGTGCACCCAACCATAAATATTGTTTTTTTAAGGCAGTGGTTCTCAACCTTTTTTTGCCAATGGCACACCTTTGACCACATGACAAAATAGTGGCACACCTGGCTATATATATATATGAAAAATATATAATCGTAGACAAGAGACTGTCATAGACACATAGAATGACTGAAACTAAATAAAGAAAAACACACAATGAACTTACCAGTAAACACCAGTGAATACTTAATTGGGATCACACGGTTTTTCGCATTTTCTTAGTGTGCCGTTCACGGCACACTGGTTGAGAATCGCTGTTTTAAGGTGTCTAAGTGTTGTGAGGATACCTGATGTCATTGCCGTTTGAGGGGATTAAGAATGTTTTCGATAATTGGCAAAGTCGTTTTTACGGAAGGATAGGTATATATATTTCTAAGCGACGTAAGAGTGACGATGGCTCAATTAATTTTAATCAGATTGGTGTGAACTTACTGAAAAGTGTATATAGTAACCATTGGCAATAAGTACATAAAAGTTTGTTAGGTTATGCAACACGGCCGATTAACCAAATTCAACTCTTAATTCAGACATAAATCTAAGATATCTAACTCTTTTGAAGTTTTATTAAATATTAATTTTCAATAATCCCGGCTCAAGAAAAATACAAACAGACATGATCTATTCTTGTCTACTCTCTCCATCTGCATCAGCTATTCATCAAGCAGCTACACATATCTACCGGCCTGTCCAGCTACTCTTTAATTAAGTGTTGCCGACCCCCCTCCCCCATCTCGTTTACTCTCTCCGACCTACTGGCTTGTCATGCCTCTGCTACACTTTTAAGGGAGTGTTGCTGACACCCCACCCCCTCTCCGCCTCTAGTCTTTTGTCAACGATTTAATACATGTACATACAAACAATATAAGTAATATAAGACAAATCACCAGTAATTATATGATTTGTTTATAACCACCGGTACATCATCAGTATATTTGGAGAATATTATTAATAAGACTATCAATCAATATACATCAATTAGGTTACCAGGACTATCTCTTGTGACATATATTTCTACTAGAGAGAACTCAATAATAATAAAAACATCACTATTGCTTGAGTAAAAAACATACGCTTCTTCCGGGTACAGTTAAAGTAGCTAGGTCTCTAACTCAATATCATCCAAAATCTTCGACATTGAAAACACGAATTATTTGTCAATTTAAATCAACATTGATGTTGTGATCTTACGGGGAAAAGATGGGCTTCTGATATCCAATAATTAAAACAAAATAAACATTTTACCGTTGGTACAAGAATCGTGTACCATGGTGCATTTCAGCACCATTTTTAACAAGGGACTCGTAGAAAGAGGCTAGATATATTCCACAAGTCATGTCAAACGGTGACGTCATATTCTTATCTGGAGAGCATGCGCAATAAATACTGTCAGTTTAGAGTGGAATAACCAGACGCTAGAGATTGCTATTGGATTGAGACTTCTGGCGTATTTCGCCAAATATAACTGATTTGAAATTGCAGTAAAAACAGAAACGATTGAATGTAAATCAGTTTATATACATTCACATTACATTATTATATCTGTTGTGACCCATTTGTGTCAATTTCTAGATCCAAAATATTAGCGATTTAGCTCCTTTAAAAAGGGTGTAGATTAAAAGACATTACAAAGGACACAAATTCTGCCAGAGATCCTCTCAGGTAAATTAGTTTATTTTTAGTATTCCCAGGTCTGCAGTAATTTTACTATTTCGTACATTACACCAGAAGCTAATTAAAGTGGCATTATGGAGGATTAGACAAAGAGCTGACAGTTCTCGCTGTAATAGTTTAAAAATAGATAATGTAAAGAGAATATACTGAAAACAAATTTGTCAAATTACTCTACTCTAAGCCGAGAAAACCAAATTTAAAAAACACTGTAGACTCGGTTGTTATTAGCCCTGTTTACATTTGGCCGTGATAAGCGTGCCGTTCTGGGCACGGTACCAGGCTGCGATAAATTTCAAGAAATTGACCCGTTTACATTTCTCTAAAATAACCGGTCTCAGAACCGTGCCAAGAACGCCAAATGTGGAACTCTTCACAGAAAAGTTAATTTCAATCCCTATATAAATTACCCAGATGAAAACAATTATGATGGTGGATTTAGTTTGAGCAGCCATTTTGATAGAACTGATGACAGAACTGTCAAAGTTTGCGGGGAAAAAAGGTCAAGGTTCGTATTGCGTATGCGCAGTTATCCGTACTTAAACCATACACAGACTGGATAGTGTTTACACTAAGAAAATTTAACCGCGCCATGGCTGGTACCATGCCGAGACCACCTCATTTCAGTGGGCCAGATTGGCACGGTACTCAGTACGGCACGCTTATGTTTGACCCATTTACACTACAAAAAAATTAACCGTGCCGTGCAAGGTACCGTTCCTGGCACACTTAAAATTTGTAATGTAAACAGGGTTATTGTTACCGTTGTTATGATAATAAACAGTCTTGATTATCCATTTTTATGGTTAATCATATACAGCCGTTGAATCGCAGATCAGATTCAAATCTGTTTAAAATCGTACCCATAAGATGGTATCGAGAGTTGATTATGATCTTGTCTTGTTAATAAATGTTATCTTGTCTTGTTAATAAATGTTATATAAATAACATTTATTAACAAGACAAGATCATAATCAACTCTCGATACCATCTTATGGGTACCATTTTAAACAGATTTGAATCTGATCTGCGATTCAACGGCTGTATATGATTAAGGCCTAAAGAAAGACCTGCAATGGACAAATTTAGCTCTTGCATAATGTACATTTAAAGAAACTTGACAACAAAAGTAAAAAAAAAAGTACAGGTTCATTCAGTCTTTACAGTCAAGTCTGGAAATAAGGCATGTGTTAAAGATATATCAGGCACAAATGGTATGGTGCCTGTCATTCTGTCAGGCATAGATTTGTCATTTCTTACTTTTATTATTGATATAATTTATATATACAGGGCAGAAAGTTAAAATGTCAAAAGTATTTTGTAGTTTACACAAATAGAAAATTCAAGAGACTTGATTGTTAAAGTAAATAGTAAAGGTCTGTCAAGTCTTTCAAGATTAGTATCTGTATTACCACACCTAGTCTGTATATAGAAGATCATTTGTCTTCCTTTTGAAGAACTATCTGAATAAGCGGTTACCAGTGCATCTACATCTTTCTTTATAGAGCATCTCAGCTTTCATTTCGAACTCGCTTGCCAGTTCTGACTGACTAACCAAAAGCTGACTAGCTAAAACGTTCACGATGAATGTGTAACCTGTTTGTGTTTATTAGTCTAATTATCTTCTTTTTTCACAGAACCTCAGTACACAACCAATGTGAAAGTGTACCAGTTCTTGAGATTATCTCCACAAAGTGTGAAAGTATACCAGTTCTTGAGCTTAATGCCACAAGTGTAAAAGTGTACCAGTTCTTGAGATAGATTATCTCCACAAAATATGAAAATATACCAGTTCTTGAGATAGATTTAATGATATCTCCACAAAATGCGAAGGTTTACCAGTTCTTGAGATTATCTCTACGAAACAGCTACCGAAATCTCCATTGGTGTTTCCTCAGTGGTAACTGTGAATATGTTGTTTCTGTGAATGTGAAGATGATGACATGTCAACTATTCCACCATGATAAACATCCTAGACCTGATTCACTAATAGAACCCTGTAAAACAAAACAATAAATAATAATAATAATGAATATTTATATTGCGCGCATTCCAACAGAATGCTCATGGCGTAGGTTTGTTTACCTTTTCAGTTTTATAGTTCACTATTTATAATAGTAAAACCAAAAACAGCCACTAGTGGACTAATGCCATTTAAAGATTATTATTTATAATAGGATTCAAACACATGGGATTTTAGTTTTAATTTGAAAGTTTCCAAACATTGTGAAGTTTTGTGATGCACAGGTATTTGCACAATGTGGGAAAATCGTCGAAACCCAAAGGATTTAAGTCTTTAACTTGGTACTGTTAAAATGCGAACATTTTGTGACATCAAAATAATAATATCAATGTATTACATCATCGGCGGCCAAGCTAAGAATCTTCCATCAACAGTCATAATTACATAAGTGAAAAAGGAGGAGAAATCGATCAAATATGCAGAAAATGAAGAATGTAGGAAGAGGACCTTATATGTATGGATTCATAAAGCAGGGGGAGGGGGACGTAATAGACCATAATTTTATCATGGCATAGTCAGTAGATTTTATTGTTTCGTTCATGCACACTTAATAATGTCATTGCATTGCTAGAATTCATAAAAATACAAGTGTATCTTACTGTAATGGTATATGGAGGTTTTTTAAGGTCAGGATCTGTTAAAATACTATCAACACTATCTGTATTTGTTGTATCTGGTCCTGATGGTGTTGTATCCACAAAACCTTCATCTACCACTCGAAATCTACAATATATCACATCAATCACATTACATGACCCTTGTAATCAATGTATAACGGTTAACCCTTTAGTAATTGGTATATGTTGATTATCTCCTTCCCTCAAACCGCTCGAGTCACATAACTAGTGTAAGGTCAATTGACAGTTTCTCACATGAACTGGGCGGTTGGAGGTACTTGAGGGAGCAGTATTTTTCAGGTGGTGCAAGTGGTAAAGGGTTAACCTGTAAATTAAAACTTTGGTTTAACATTGCACATAGCGAAATGTAGTCACAGAAGTCAAATTATTATCAAAAAAAAATGTTTTTGGCATGAGCTTTATGGTTGTCTGTTGGCTATAGTGCCTCTCTATATAAAATTTATGTTCATGTGTAGGCAATTGGCCTGTTATTAACATACACTGATTACCTCTAATAAAAACAGCAGTGCATTTCCGCAGTTTTGTATTGTTTCTGAATATCCCCTACTTTTTTTGAAGCGTATACCTAGTTCAAAATTTTGTTTTACTTGTTTTTACTACACGAGGATCTGTTATATTACAGGCGTTTTGGTTGAAGTGAGGGATTAGCCATGCACGGAACCACTAGAAACATCAACGCTGTTTGATTTATCAATGTCTGACGTCATAAGAGTCAAAATCCGCGCATATGACCCCTGACACGACCTTCCAGTACAACTTGTCAGATCTTCATGTAGTGTAGGCCATTGAAAGTATAAAAAAACGAAAACAAAATATAGATCTATATTTTAATTAGATTGGGGTTTATTAGGTGAATACCTTGACAGAGTTTGAAGATGAGCATTTTCGGCTCATTGGCTGATGCTTTGGGACACAATAACTTTAGTTCTAATTAAGTGAGAGTGATAAAACTTGGTGTATAGTTTCATTACATCAATACCTTGACTTAGTTCAATAATGAGCATTTTCTGCTTAGGGTAAGCAGAGTGAATACCATGACCGATTTCAATGATTAACATTTCCCACTAAAACTAAGCAGAGCTAAGCAATTTCATTGGTCGATGCTTTGGGACAAGATAACATTTCCCACTAAAACTAAGCAGAGCTAAGCAATTTCATTGGTCGATGCTTTGGGACAAGATAACTTTGATTCTAACTGATGAAGAGTGATGAAACTCAGTGTATAGTTTCACTACCAGGTACTTCAAATTTTTGACTGAGTTTGATCGTGAATATTTTTGGATTTGGGTAGGTGACATCAGCCTCACTGTTGGCTTGTTGGTTATATGATTTGACATATTGTGACCAATAAAGACATTTATTTTATGATCAGTAGTGGAATTCCGCGTTTTATCAGTGAAATAAAAGTGTTATTCCACTGGCTAGCAGTAGGCCATGTTGTTTTTACCTAAAATGATTGTAAAATCATAAAAAAAATATAACATTTGTCGTTTTGTCGTGAATAACATATTTTATTTCATCTCTAAGCAAGAAAACGTTTTCTTGCTTCTCGATAAAATAAAATATGTTATTCACTCTAAAATGACAAATATCCTCTATATAGCTTTTGTTTTCCTTTGGTCCTTCAACAAAAAGTAAATACTGTTATACTAGTATTAAATACACATAATTACTAAATGTCATACTTTCTAGTGGCATTACATATATATGTATCAGTATATGTAAATTATGTGACAGGATGCTCCTATGAATTAACACATCTCTACTAAGTGAGCCAAAGGGAATTCCCCACAACCAAGACAGTAGGAAGCATATTAAATTTTGAGACAACACAGGGCAAATTAATCTCGGCATCCCCAGATATGTGAACAGTCACCACAGAGCTCAGTACATGTACATATTAACATCCCTGTAACATTTACAACCCATCTCAACTGAGAAAAACTAATACATGTAGAGTGGTGCATTACAATAATAATGTATATTATGGTGCGATGATTATATCTAATGCATGGAGAATTGGTACTTATTTTAAATTAATCACACATTCTTACACCCTTGGTACCTTATAATATTGACAGCTGTTGAAATAGACTGTTTATTTTACATAAACAAAAACATATTATTTACATTAATAACAACTGTTATTTAAACTAATAAATATGACATTTCCAGAAATTGAAATCTTCTTCAAAATATATATCAAAGTGCCAGTTATGTTTATGATGTAAGAGGGATTATTTATAACGCGATGGTTTATGTTTTAAATCTACAAGTATCTGTTTAATATCAGGCTAGAGTTTTTGAACACCTTGATCAGTGCCAATATATAAGTAAAACATGTGTGGTCGTATTTTTTATTAAGACCAGACTTATGTGTTATGTTATTTGATTGGTCTCTTCAAGTATTATCAGCATTCCTTTTACATCATGTATAAACATGTAAGCAATATATCAGAGACATTATAAATATACATGTATAGTAAGAAAATGCACCGGTAGGTAAAACATATTAAAGGAACTGTAACATCACTACACCAAGTTAACATGAAGAAATAAAATCGAGTTTTAAAAATATTATTGAATTTTAAAATAAATACATTATTAGTTTATATTCAAGATGATAGATATAAATAATCAATCACTTGGGGTGCTTGATTATCAGTCCGGAATGTTCTGAATTGACAGAACTGCAATCGAGTCCTGTCACAGTTCTGTGAGTCCAAACAACTGAGGGAGTTCAGTAGAATTGTGACATAATTTTAATAAATGTTTCAGCTGTCATGGTTGGTTGAGGGATTATCTTATACAGTCGATGAACGCACTGTAGCCCAATATTCCCTTTTCACTCTATTGTCTCTATTTGTGGGATTGAGAGAATTTAATTCTAGAATGCTCAATCCGGTATCCCCATGGTATTATCGGAGATTATTTATAGCTCTGTTACATTTTAAGAAATGACACTATCACTTTATGTGATCTTTATACACGTAACTAGATGAAGAATAGTTTTGTGTTAAATATATTTATTGTCACAGGAAAGTATAAGAAGTAAATGATATTTTTTGGTTTATTTATAAAAACATTTAAAGCTAGATGATGCACTGAATGTGCTCAACTGTGTTTGTGTTTCATTTAATTGTAAAATAAGATATGAATTTATTATATGTATGGGCATGTACTGTTCAGGAGAATTCCAGTTATACACACCAGACAATACTACAGACAATATAAGGATATCTATTCTACAAGTTTCGCCTTACCAATACAATATCTGAAAGCTAATATCCCTGATATTTATATGAATGGTAATTTTTTTTTCAATCTTGCAAATATTTAATTATCAAAATCTCCTTAAAGGGACAATAACACTCTTGCTGGCTTGACAGCTCCAGAAAATAAAAAATAGCCTTATTCCAAGTACTAGATGTGTTAGTGTCCTACCTGTTGTGTAAATTATCCATTAAATCCTATTTTATTTGTCCAGAGGGTTCAAAAATATTTTTAAATCCAAGTCACATTTGAAAAGCTTTACGTCAGGCTTTTCAAATTATTTAGTTGAATTTTTCCAATGTTTTAAATTAGGTGTGGTAAGATGAAATTTGTATCATCAATTAATTGGAATATTGTAAAATAGTACAATTTGTTGACCAGAATAAAGATTGAGACATATTATTCAGTTACAACAAGAGTGGTATTGAGCCTTTAACTTTTGCAAATATTGCTTCTACAAGTGACAGATAACTGTCATTCTATGTCTGATTATGGTTGGTTACATAGTTAAACTATTATAGCACTGTTGTATTTGAACAATCTCATTGATAATCTTTTCCCTGTATAAACAGTACCAAAAAATTATAGTTTGCTGTATTCATTCTCATTTGTTCATTTTTGAATATTTTTTAGGATAAAAATACATATTACTTTGATTTGATAAAATATAAAATGGTACACAATTGTGATACATTGCAGTATGTTGAGATATTACCCTACGATCCAGCAAGCAGAAGTACTGCTTTATATTGTGATATGTTATTGCAATAGGAGTAGAAATATTGCAATATGATATCCAGCTGTAATACTCAGCCCTAATATACAATACTATACTAATTGCTTTAATGTCTACTAATTTTTAAAAATATATTTCAGTCTTTATTAAACTCAAGACCTTCAAGGCAAACCAGCTTGGTTTCCCTTTTTGTCAGTAGTGCATGATGGAGAGTCTGACAAGAAACAGTGCCTAGTCATTTGAATGGGACAAAAAACCAAAGTCTCTTATACACATTGGCATGCACATAAAAGAACCCTTGACATTTGGTATTCAGAATAAGAGTAAGGCGTAGTGCTGATGTCTGGGAAAAATCCTCTTCATAGCACACTGTATGGTGTATGCCTGTCTTTATTAGCCCAGTCGGTTCAGAAAAGTAGAACTTTAAGTACATTTCATTTCATTTCCTACTGTATATCCGATTGTTTGAAACATAACAGGGATGAACAGAAAAGGAGTCTGTGAGAGTGGTAGGCTCGAAGGCCCCTAAATAAATTAAGGTTCCTAGATAGTGTGGGTCCCCTTTAGTCTTGAATTTACGTTTTTTGGGGTTTTTTTGATGAATTGGTAAGACCCCACATGCTTAATTTGTGTTCCCGCGCACACAGCCCTACATTGGGAGTCCCTAGGTCGTTCTTGAAGCATGACATGAGCTATGTTTGCATTCAGACATGAAAATATGAATACAGTTTTTGATGTTAGAAGAGATAACTAGTGGTAAGGTTTTTGGAATTGTACATTCCTCATTATTTTTTGTGAAGACAGTAGACATATTACTATCTTATAAATAACTTCTCTCTGTTTTTCTACCATTTATATAATACATAAACAATTATATAACAATTTTAGTAGAAAAACACAATGCAGTTGATGTAAAATAAGATACATAATTGTATCTGTAGCATTAAAGCCCAGTATTTTAGTGCAGAAATTATTCAAATTCATCCATTCTAGTTAAAGGCCACTTAAAGTTTACATTGATTTCATAATATCTTTAATTATAGCCACTTGAAGTTTACATTGGTTTCTAATGATTTCAAATTGGCCACATTATTGTGTCTTACATAAATCAACAAACTGATTAAAAGACACATCTATATTTTGTTTATTTATTTATATTTTCGATGATTTCCACTATGATCTGACTTGTTGTAGTGGGAGGTCTCATCAGGGGCTATACCATCGACTTTTGGCCCTGTAGCCCGTGATGTCAGTCAATTGACTGACCAATCTGCTTCAATGTTGCAAGTGGCTATTTGGAAATACAATTTTTACTTTCTTTTGTTTTCTTCCTACATTTCTGTGCAGAACATGAAAGAACTCGACTTGATTGGCTAAGCTCTCACATTACACAGAAGGCAGGTTATTTAACTCTTCCAGATCCTGCTGTAGTGAAGACAAGTAAAACTATAGAAAACAAAACAGGATCTGTGTTTTAATCAGATTGATAAATAAAGTGATAACAATTCTATTTTTTTGGTACACGCCAGCCCATTCTTCATGAATTCGTTTTTTTTAATATTCAGATGTGCTGTAAGTACACATTCTTTCACTTGATTTGATATATCCAATATATAATCTTGTTGTGTATTGCTTGAAATTTCCCTGTAGCATGTGTCTTATTCGCAGGTTTGTTTTATGGGTTTCTGTTTGTGTGTGGTGCGTTCGTCCTGCAGTTACTATTAGTAAATATTTTGGACTTGGAGAGATACATATGAATGATCTAGACTGTAGTGCTTTTAAGTCAAATGACATAAACAGTTGGATAATGACTATTGTATACATGCATATTATCGTCTTACATTTGTAAACAATCACACAACCAGACACAGAAAAAATGTCTAGAACTTATCTAGAAGTAACTCTACGCCCAAATCCTTCAGCATTATATCATGTGTCAAAAAAGTAGCAGAGCATTAATTTAATAAAAAACTATCCAGTAAGTTATTTATTTCTAAAAATACCTTTCTTTTATCAGTAATTACTGTCAATGTCATGCAGGTCTGATACTGTGTATGGCTTACTTAAAAAAATTACATGAAGCTGTCTGTGAAGATCTTATACTACACAAATAGGCTGTGTAGAGTTATTTCCCTTAATTTTATGTTTGCCACATTTAAAGGTTTCTCTCAATCTCCAAAATAGTGATAATCGAGTAGAATGGGGGATTTCAAGCTACAATGCATGCACGAACGACATAAGAAAATATCTCAAACAACCATGACAGATGAAGAAACATAATCGTTTCATTACGGCACGTTTCTACTCACACCACCCCAGTTGTTGGGACTGAAAGAACTGTGACAGGACTGAATTCCGTGTCACACGATTGCAATTCTGTCAATTCGAGACATTCCAGACTGTCAATCGTGCATCCCCTTAGAAACACAGTGATAAAAAACTATTTATTTTCAAGTTCCTGGTAATATTTTCAAGCAGCATATTTTTTTTTCACAAAAAAATTCCATTGACTGCCAGATCTAACCAATTATATGTAAGATATCAAATCAATTCAAGCTTAATTCCAAGAAAAATCATGGCACAGACATAAGATATTAAAATAAAATCAAGATCTACCTTATTTCCTCTCCAATATCCATGAATAACTGATGTTTTGTATCTTCATCTACTTCATATTCCCACGCCCATAACTGTTCTTCTTCATCGCTATAATCAGTTAAAGTCAATACAACCTTTTTGGTTGCTGCAATTACAAGGCAATAAAAAGGCATTTGTTGTATCTCTACCAATCACAGAGACTTTGTATCTCCTTGGAAATGAGAAATAAATTTATCACCCAATAATACATTACATGGGAAAATATATCCAATCTGGTATTCAGCGCTATAGGAAATATTGCTACAACTTTATTTTTCCTCATTTAAAGCCACATATTGTTCTCTATATATGTTGCTTGTTTTATCAAACACTGTTTTAATTCTTTTATCTAATAACATTTCCACAGGCTGTTTGAAAGACAGAAGTGTCAAATATATGAATAATTCTCAATAAATTTATGAAGCACCTCTGGAAATGGCATCAAGTTCAGTTAAAAAAAGGTATTTGTGGACAGATGATTATTGTTGAAAAAAGTCAACAATCCTGTGTATAGTATTAAGTAATTGATGTATCTAATATGATACATAACAACAATAAAACAGATAAAGGATACAATCGTGCTGGATGTTGTAAGGCATCTGCAGGAATTAAGATGTCATCAAAGAAACCCATTGACACTAAAAAAAAACCAAGAAAAGAACAGACTATTATAATTATGTGAAATTATTATAAAACAGGTTAACAATTTTACTTGTAACATGGACGGGAAATCTTTCTTTGTTCTTTTCACTGAACAAGCAGATTATTTTCCCTCTAGCAGATAGGGTGATGCTTAACCGGGCAATAACTAGACATGCTCAATGTTATTGCACTCTTTTGCTGGTTTACACTAGTTTTAGTAGAAATCATATAGAGAAGTGGGGTGGGTTTTCGGTGCAATAACAACAAGCATGTTGAGCAGGTGTCAATGCTACAAGTCATTTATAGCACGCTTCATTCATTAACAGGTTTAACATCTCGGCCTACAGCCTCGATGTTTAAACCTGTTAACTCATGAAAGCTGTGCTATAAATATAACTTATTTGTGAAATATCGTCAATAAAAGTATGATGTCTCATTCAGGATTTCTAAACCTTGAGGTGCATTCACCATATTACAAGTGTGGGGAAACAACAACATCTATCTGGAGATCAATCTCCAGATTATGGTTGGTTTGCTTTGGTGAAGATTGCAGGTTAAACAAAATATAGAAATTAAAGATACATTATGTAAGATTTAGATAAAGAGCTGGCCGTTCTTGCTATAATAGTTCAAAAACAGATAAAGCAAAATGAATATATTGAAAATTTTATTCAAATTACTTTATTCTGAGCGAAGATGTTAGCCTTGAAGGTTTGATAAGATGTTTTCCACTCATTGTAACCACTGTACTGGTTGTTAGAAGCTTGGCCTCACTTCACCATTTTTAGATTAAATCCTTAAATGGCTGAGCCATTCCAATCTACTTAAAATCGGACCTATCTGATGGCATAGACTTGATGGTGGTCTTGTCATGTTAATAAATGTCTAATTAATAGTTTAAATAACACTTAAGGCCTAAAGAAAGACCTGCAATAGTCAGATTTAACTCTTGCATAATGTATGTTTATTGTTTAATTATTAGTGACCATTAAATATGCGTTCAAATTCCATGTGAAGTTGTCATTGTTGTCTCCTGTTGACAATGAGGTTTTTAGGAATTGGCAAAGTTTCGTGCAACACGCAACTTGTGGTGTGGTCCTGCACTTTTTTCCTCCGACAGGGCGTATGAATACTGGCATATGCCATGCAGTGTACTATAAGTGAAATTTTGCCTTGACAGCAGTGCCACAGCCTACTCATATTTCAAATTCCAACTGTCAAGGGTTCCTTTAAGTCCTGCTATTACTGCTATTGCAATAAAGTTTATGTAAATACTTACCATGAACACCTTCTTTACTGCAACCTTTAATCTTACCTACCAATATTTCATCCACGAACGGCCGGAATACTACATATCGGAAATGAACTATATGAAGAAAATAAAATTAAAATTTAGACAAATGTCCTTAGTAAATTCTTAACCAATAGAAATGTTTATTTTGTTTTAAAGTATTATGTTCTAGATGTGGAATAGAACCAACAGAAGTAATTAAATCTTGGCATTGATCAGAGGGGGGGGGGGAGGGGGGAGGGGTAGGGGCTAATGTAGCTTAGATATGGCTACCTTCAAATGAAAGGTACACGTATATACATTAATTTTTAATGTCTGCTGGATAGGGAAGGAGCGTGTCGCACATATCCTTGGATGCCATTGCAGCACCAGACTGACCCCAAAATTTCAAAAAAGAATCTAATGTATACACATGCCCAAATTAAAGATTAAGTATGTAAGATTGAGGTATACAGCTCTATCTGTTCTCGCTATAATAGTTTAAAAAAAGACAACCACCAAAAATAATATATTGAAAATTTCATTCAAAATATTTATTCTAAGAAAAGTTATGAATGTTTGAAGTTTAAACAAGAATAGCTTAGTCTCGATTGTCATTGCTATGATAATAAACAAAGTCTCGATCTTCCATTTTAGCATTAACCAATAAAAAGGGGCATTTGTTCTAATCCAATTAATATCACAGCCATCCAATGTCCTAGAGAGTTGATTATGAGCTCAATTGTCATGCGAATAAATGTCTAATTCATAATTTATATAGCATTTGAAACCAGAAGAAAGACCTGTGTTAGCTCTTACATCATGCATCTCAAAGTATAATGTAAAATCAAAATAATTTATAAAATTGATGTGAACATTCCTCTTCCAAAGACATACACATACATAGATTAGTATAATATAACTAACCATTAGTATGAGATGCTCCATCACCTGGAAAAATAAAACTATCTTCAAGTTTCACTAAATCCCATAAAGCTATACACAGTCCTACATTATACACAACCTATAAAAAAATACAACAAATATTCCTGTAGTAAACACTGCAATCTATAGAGTATGGAGGCAGTCCACCATTAAAGGACAATGTTGGCGTCAGTCATTATCCCATATGTGATAGAACTGGTTAAACACGTTCCAAATATAATATTAACACAGAGATCATTGCTACGATAGATGCTTTATGAAGATTTCAAGAAAGGGAAGAGACGAACGCAAAAGGAAAACATGAGTTATCCTTCTATATAACTGACTAAGGTGACGAGTGATAACAGATACATGGGCAAATTTCTGCTCACTAATAATTCCTTCGAAGACCAATACCATCCTTGTACACAATGGGGAAATTAAATTAATGGTGGTTTGCCTCTGTATAGAAGAACAAAGATGAGTTGACCCCCTCCCTTGCTTTGGAATAGCGATAATTCTATTTTGTATGTATCACTACTTTTATTAATAAAATTCAACTTCCACGGCACATCATTCAACATCCAAAAGCGACACCAAGAACAACCCAAGGAAGAAAACTTGACTCTGAATTAAAGTCAATTTGAATTTCATGGCGAATCATGGGGAGAAACAAAGAAAGGAAATGAAATGAAATGGGGTTTAACGTCCTACTGTTCTGCTCCTAACCTGGGCTAATGAAGACGGGCATATGCCATACAGTGTGCTATGAGGGAAATTTTGCCCGGGCAGTGGCACTACGGCTTACTCTTATATCGAATTCCAACTGCCAAGGGATCTTTTACGTGCACGCCAATGTGTACACGGGACCTCGGTTTTTCGGACCATCTGAACGACTAGACAGCTGTCCTTGTCAGGCCCTCCATCCTGTATCACTGACAAGGGGAAACCACGCCGGAAAATCTGGATGAACTTTCTCGGCCAATGCAGGGATCGAACACCCGATCTCCAGGCTAGCGAGCCAGCGTTTTACCTACTTAGCCATGTGATCCCCCAGCAAAGAAAGTAGATTTGGGTCATAATTGTTGGAAATCCACTTGAAACAGAATGACTTAAGAAAAAGAATTTAAGATTGATAAATTATGCAAATTAGTTTGATTAAACATATGTATTAAGTAAGTTTTAGTCACCTTATTAGCAAGTTTTTTGTTGAGTATCTCAATAATGGCATCAGTAGTCTCTTCCTTAAATTCCCATGGTGGAATTCTTACAGTATCCTTCATTTCACTTAGAACAAACATGATGGACCATTTGATGTTGGAATTCTATCTAAAATATAACATTCAATGAGTGTCAAAAATATGGTCATTGGTCACACACTGATCAGCAGTGAATATTCGCAGACCGCTACAATCACTGATAAGGATGACATCAATGCAATTAATGAGCCACAAATATTAACTCTTTTCCTGACAAATTAAATTCTAAAACATTTTTGTTATGTATTAGAAAAATAAATTTGTAGGCAAAAATTATTTCCTATTTAGTGTAAATAGGTATTGAAATGAGTAAAAGGCACCATTCTGGCCCAACCAGTAACGTCTTATGTAAACAATGCACGTGCCATTGAGCCAATGATTGACCCCGTGTGATGTGACGTCACATGTTGAAGGAAGTCATCTTTTACCAAGATATTATAAGACTTTCGTAAAACTTTGTGAAACAGAACACAATGTATGTGTAGTTCTGTATTTATTCCAATCAAGCAAACTTTAAATTCAGAAAAAGGCTTGATGCATCATTTGCATTTTCGCTAAAATATCAAATTTATGCTATGTACATGTATGTACTCAGATGCATTATTTAACATTTAATTAAGAAAACAAAATCAAAATACTAATGCTAGATAATCTAGATGGCTAGCATTCATTCAGATTTTCAAACTAGACCCATCAGTTTTCTCTGCTACCAATAAAAGATGGTTCAACTTGTTAAGCTGTTATATGAATAGCATCTATAGATAATGAAATTTCAGTTTACCATAACTTTGTAAATTTTAAAAAGATATGAAACATTTTTTGACCAATATTCCTGTTAGAGATCCAACTGTCACAATATTGTTGTTTGAAATTAGTGATTCCAATAGTGCTAATATATTTTTGATATTGCTTTCCCTATCTTAAAATGAACATCCAATTATCAACCCAATTCAACAATTTTGACCTAAATCAAAGAGATTTAACTCCTTTTTATTAAAATAGTGTAGTCTGATATATCTGGCTCAACTTCTAATTCATTGTCATCCTTTTTATGGCCATGATACATCCTGGGGAGAATCAGAGAAACAAGGCTGTTTATTCCAACTGTCCACGTCTCAGATGTTTAGAGATTTTAAAACAGATCAATAAAACAGACTGAGGAATAAAGTGTCAGGAAGGTAGTCACTAGCTGCAGGCAATGCCATATTTATGGGGAGTATACTGACAGAAATGGTTTAGCACTAAGCTAACAAATTAAGTCATCAAATTCTTCTTCCGTAAACTATAACAATAATAATGTTCCTTTTTTAAAAATGAAATGAAATGGAATAACATCATACGGCCTACTCTTATATCGAAAATTTCAACTGCCAAGGGATCGTTTACATGCACTCCAATGTGCACACATATATATATATGAGACCTCGGGTTTTTTTTGTCCCATCCGAATGAAAGCTGTCGGGCCCTCTGCCCTGCACCACTGACATGGGGGGAAACCACGATTTAAAAACCCCCAAAATAATCTGACTAAAATACCAGTCTATATTTGGTTCCGTTCTTTTTTTTATACTTTTCATGATCTGTGTTCTCCGCTCTAGCATAAACAAACATAATCCGTTCTCAGTCATAGATTAAAGATATTGCCGTGATTACTTTAGACTTATTTATGGAGTCATGTTTTTCTAAATTAAGTGTAATTACCTTATTTTTTTACTACTCCGTTAACAGAGGTATTATTATACTTACTCTGCCATGCAAACACTCTTTTTTATTCTGAATATTACATTCTGCAATCGCGAGAAATCAAACCTTTTACATGTGCTTGCCTTTGGCTTTACCGCCAATCGGTCTATCAAAACAATTAACGACATCAATATAAACACCCTGTCGAGTTTCTTATTAAATCTGGAATACAACATGATCATATGACAGCGTATAATTAAACGAAATTAGCGTCAATGGAAATTAGTGTCTATTTATTCCTACAATTTCTAATATATCAACGTGTCTCTTTCACCTTGAAAATGTCGTTATTTATTTACTTAGAACGGTTAGCGACACACCATTCAGCTCAAGACACGTTTACTTTTTAGCAGACGAAAACATGTATATTATCAATGAATAAAAGCCTGAAAATGTATTCCATTTGTACAATTATTGGACTTGCTACTTGTGTAATAAGCACAGAACCCGTTGATAATGGCGAATGGTAAATTAATTCAATCCAATTTCTTATTCATTTGTTGCACAGCAAACTCATTGAGTCACACTGTGAGTGACGACTACAACTAGGCCTACAAGACAAGTACAACTGTAGCCACAACAATACAAATATAAGTTACATGTAATTTGTAAAATCAACCCTTCTTTTTTTTTTTTTTTACCTTTTCTTACGGTTTCTTTTAAAACGTAGATCTACGGTAAATCCACAGTCGCACTTCTCAGAAATTTTAAATTTCAATAGAGATTTCATATTTACGATAAAATGAAATGAAATGAAATGAAATGGAGTTTAACGTCCTACTGTTCTGCTCCTAACCTGGGCTAATGAAGACGGGCATACGCCATACAGTGTGCTATGAGGGAAATTTTGCCCGGACAGCGGCACTACGGCCTACTCTTATATCGAATTCCAACTGTCAAGGGATCTTTTACGTGCACGCCAATGTGTACACGGGACCTCGGTTTTTCGTCCCATCCGAACGACTAGACAGCTTTCCTTGTCAGCCCCTCCGTCCTGCATCACTGACAAGGGAGAACCACGCCGGAAAATCTGGATGAACTTTCTCGGCCAATGCAGGGATCGAACATCCGACCTCCAGGCTAGCGAGCTAGCGTCTTACCCACTTAGCCACGTGATCCCCATATTTACGATAACTGAGAATGAGATTAAATTGACTACAAAGTTAAGTACAAGAAAACAATCTAAAAACTATAAACTTTAGAAAAAAAAAGTAGATCTATTACCCAAAGGACCAATGTTGATTATATAAATTCAATGATTTTATCTATTTTTTTAACTTTAGTAGAGTTAATATTTGTACCATGATATTAATTTTACGAAAAATGTGATAACAAAATTACTGAAAAGAACAAAGCAACTCAAAACATCAAATTTTCCTGCATTTATGATTTCTTTTTACCGTTAAAAGTTTTTCAGTCATAGCATGGAAGGTGCAGAAAAGTAGGACATTAGTATGTTTCATTCATTATTCTCTTGAAAGTTAGAGAAATACATGTGAATATACCTGTAATTGGTCACATATGTCTCTAATTAATGACCAAGTAATTGATGTATATTGTGTTGATAATATTCCTGTCATACATACATATACCCCTCCTATCAGTTTTAATGGTTTGTTTTTTTCTGTCTCATTATGAATAACAATAGGGTTACAGAAGATAAAGATATGATTGCACAACCAGGTCCATGTAATATAGATGTCAGAGATGCAGACACTTTATCACAAGAAGAATTTTTAAATAGGTAATCACTTTAAAGATCGATTATTAGTGCTTTTTATCATGGACATAATATCAATGCCTTTAATTAAGTAATGATACTTGATCTTTTATTTTTACCAAATGGTTTTCAGGCACTAATGAACTAGTACCCAACATTTTGAACTTTGTCCTGGGCATGGAACAGTACATTTATATATAATAAATATCTTTAAAAACACGGATAAAAGAAAAGACTGTTCGAGACAAAATGATCGGCACCCGGGACATTGTGCATGACAAATCCTGAATTTGTGCCTGACAGCTAGGTGTCTTTTCAGGCGTGGTTATATAATATATGTACACCACTCATTGAAGAATTAACAAAAACCAGAAGACAAAAAATAAGACACAAAAGATACAGAACATGTATTTATATATTAATAAATATCAAATATTTTTTGTTTCTTTCAAAGATATGCTTATACAAAACCTATTGTAATAAGAGGAGCTGCAGATAACTCAGTAAGTGAATTATAGCATGATATAATTATTATTATTCATGTAATCCAAGGAAGTAAAAAAGAAAATAGCTCTGTTCTGCACATAGTACATATCTGAACAAAATATCAAGATATATGCCTTTTTTTTTAGAACTACAGGTAACCCTTAATAATGACTTTATTTACATCATTTTACCAGTAAATTCATTAGGGGTTTTAAAAATGTGCATGTCTAAACAACAGAATGTGTATATCAGTTTTGGAGATCATCTATAAAATTAGTGTAATTTTTTTTTTATGCAATTTGTTTACGATGGATTAGTATTATCCCAATTTTTATACTGGTATAACCAGTATAAAAATTGGGATAATGTTAGTCAAATGTAAACAAATTACATCAAAAATTGACCATCTGACAAAGGGAAGCATGTTAAAAGATCCTTTAGCAGTTGGAAAATGAAAAATGTACCTCATAGAACATAGCATGGTGTATGCTCATTAGCCCATCTGGTGCCAAAAAGTAGGAAGTTAACCACCCCAGTTTAGGATTGTTTTAAAAATTACTAAAGTACCAAATTTGTCTATTTCTAATTCTGTTTCTAGAAATTTCAAGATATGTGTAGGAAAGAATATATGTTGAATAGTTTTGGGACAAAGAAAATTCGATTAAGTTCAGCCAATACATATTCTTACAGTAAAGGTAGGCTTTTTTTCCCTGTGACAGCATAATAATTATATCATGTAATTAATATATCTGATCGATAATAAGTAAAATTACATTTTGAAAGTAAGTACAGCTGGTACAGAAAAGTAGGATGTTAAACCCCATTTCATTAATCATTTTGTCTTGTTTCAGCTGATGTTACATTACATGAATATGTAGAAGATATATTAAAACCTCAAAAATTGGGACAGCTAGGAAATGGTATGTTCAACAATTGCATGATTTATCTGAACACTTAATGAAATTAATAGTTCAATTACCACTATTAAAGAGACATTAGCCAGTGAAATATTTTGAATAGGATGGTGGTAGTATGCTGGATAAAATATCGCCCCCCCCCACCCCCCATAGAATCAAGAATCTGTACATTCAGTGTTTAAGCCTTTTTTTGGGATGATTCCCTTAAAAAAGTAATTAACAAGCCAATGGGGGCCACTATATTATAATGACAACCTTGCTTTCCCCAATAACTTGGTTAGTTTGCTATATGGCAGTAGGACTACTGCATTCGGGTCTTTGGGGTATGATATCCAAAGTTTTCAAAAGGAAAATCAATTGCTTTCTTCTTGGTAATTGTATTTATAAATATAATTATGTTGTGCATTTTTCAGAAACATTTTATTGGTTTGGTGATAATAATTATACAGAATGGAAAGACTTGTTTAATATTTATAAACCACCTCCATATAGAGTACCAAGAATGTCGGGAGCATATAGTTTTGGTTTAGCTGGTAATGAAGTTTAATTGCTTAATAAATTTTAGACATGTAAAAATACAGATTGCTGTAAACTAATTAACCCGACACCTGTATTACATTGTATATGGTTCATGATTTGTATGGTAAAGGGGACTACCGGTTCATGATTTGTAAGGCAAAGTTGGACTACCAGGGTCTACACATTCCTGACGTAACTGTTTTACAGGTGCTGGAACTGGTGTACCATTTCATTTTCATGGTCCTGGATTTGGAGAAGTTGTATTTGGTCGTAAGGTAATATTTTTTATAAAGCATTGTTTTTAATTTATCATCTGTTATGTCTCAGTAAGTAGTCATTATTACCAGACAGGAAATTGTGTGTAAGTTGTCCATGGTATGTCATGCCTGCAAGTGAGGGAGTTTGATTCAACGCTTGTATGTGACAAGCAATAAGAACGCCTGGCTAAACTTGTGAGTTTTCACCATTCCCCACCCCACCATTAGTTTAAAAGCTCAAATTTTCTGTTTGTCATTTTAAGGGGCAAGATCTAAAAAAGTTTCTCAATCTACTGTACATATTATTGTAGAGATGGTTCATGTATCCACCAGATAAAACTCCTAGTTTTCATCCTGATAAAACAACATTACAATGGTTAATAGAGGATTATACAAAATTACATGTACAAGACTTACCTCTAGAATGTACAATTAATAAAGGGGAAGTAAGTACTGTTTCTATTATACATGTATATATTAAACAGTCTTTTAAAATCATATGTAAGTAAAGTGAATGTGTCATTAGGAATGGAATGGGTTAAATGTCTTGGTATGTTTGATATTTCTATGCCTGGTTACTTTTACAATGTGGAGATATAAGAATTTGGCACGGAGTGGTGTTTCCGTCTACTCTTTGATTTCCAACTGTTGATGGTTCTTTTACATGCATGTCAATAAAGTTCTCTGGGGTTTTTTGTGCAATGCCAAGTAGGAGAATTTTGCCACAGACAGTTGAATTTCAACCTAATCTCTAATATTTCCAACTGGACACTTTACGGGTGCATTCACACCAATGTCTACACAAATGGACCTCAGGTTTTTCATTACATCAAAATGCCAAAGCATGCTTTCCTTGATTATACCCAATCGTGTACAAATTGATCATGTCAATAAAAATTGCTAAACAGTTGGTATTTGGAGAAGATAGTAATACATGTAGTAATTATGTGCAATCCATGGAAGTTTCCACTTATATCTATTAATTATAACAGTATTAGTCTCCAAATGACCTAATTAATGATCAATAGCACATTAAACTCCATTCACTCCCTCAGTGATTTGCCAAAAGAGATAATTTTTTTTTTGACTTTTATTACAATAGGGGTCAGGTCTGCTGTATTCCAGATTTATATCCCACCCATACACGATTAATTGGATGACTGTATTAATATGTATGGTTATTTTATATTTTACAGATTATTTACTTTCCTGATAGATGGTGGCATGGAACATTAAATATAGACACCAGTGTTTTTATCTCAACATTTTTAGCATATGGTTAGAACTCAAAATCTTTAGACATCTATTTGTAACATACATCAAAGTTTTTAAAGAAATATTCTTAAAATAATACTTGATGTTGATTTGATTGTACAGTTACATCCGGTGGGGTCAGATTAGATTGAGACAGATCTCTGTCGATTCATCACTGAAATATGGATGTATTATATATACATTATGCAAGATATAGAGAAAGAGCTAATGAAAAATGAATATATTGAAAATTTCAGTCAAATTCTTTATTTTGAGCAAAGTTATGAATGTTTGAAGTTTTAACAAGAAATAGCCATAATTGGCAGATGGAAACTGCTCAAAGTTCATATTCTTATTTGTCAAGTACCATTGCCATCATAAGAAACGCATTGAATAGTGGTTTTTGAATTATTTTAAGGATGCTCTTTTGAAAATGCTTAGGTCATTGCTTGGATTTTCAATAATTAGGTGAGTCTAAGGCAAAAAAATTATCTGCGAAAAATCTAATTTACTTTTATTCATTTATATATAAATTGTGTAAATTTGTATGAATCAGGGTATGTATATAAGAAAAACGGAAGAAAAGAGCTTTTTATCACATTTTTTAACTTATGTTTTGTCATTTCATAGGGTAATTAAATCATTTAAATAAAATTATGTGTTATTGTTGTCTACAGATTTTATGTTGTCAATTTCCAACTTTTTCAAACCACAAAATATCATTTTATAAAACACATTTATATCTCACAAGGTTTTATTGAGAATATTACAAAAGAAAAAAAATAGTGAATAATTTATCAAATGACCTATATTATGATTTTGTATATTTCAAACATTGCATTTTACAAACATATGAAATGTGAATGAATGAATATTCTATGGGAATGTACAATATATTTGTATAAATTTTAAAAAACATTACACAATATGATTTTTTTGTAATTTGCTTCAAATGATATTTTTGATTACTGCCAACGACAGTAACTCGCTAATTTATGTAGGTCAACTTTCAGAAAACCAATGAATCACATATTAATTTGAATAAATAATTACTCAAACATGCATGCATGAAACATCTAATCTAGCAGAAACACACATTTTTAAAGAAGTACAAAGTCATTATCCCATTTACAGAGTTTAAAAAAAACCCAACAAACCTCTTTAGCTTTTGTTGACAAATTACCACATATACCAAAATATGTAATATAGTCTGATAATTTATCATAGTGTACCAAGGCAGATTCACTGGACACTTACAGTTATTCACAGCAGTGCTGGGCTGCATATTTAATATATTTATTCTGGTAAAATTATATGGTCAATTTATATCCATTTCCATCAATTAACATTGACACCAATATTGGCCATTAAAATTTGATCAGGGCCTTAAAGAAATTTCGAGGATTATAATTTATATCAGCAATACTATATACTGGAAAACACCGGAAAACTACCGGAAAACACCATGTTATACTGAATACCAGGAAAACCACTAAATACCGGAAAGAAATCATTCTAAATAGGTAACAAAGAGTCTGGTCCTCTGTTTGCGGGGAGGTAGGGTTAAGGTTAGGTTTTTCCGGTGTTTTCCAGAGGACCAGAGGTGGGTTAGGTTTTTCCGGTGTTTTCCAGAGGACCAGGCTCCAAGTTACCTATTTAGGATGTTTTCCGGTATTTAGTGTGTTTTCTGGTATTTTGTGTTTTTCCGTTGTTTTCTAGTATTCAGTATAACATGGTGTTTTCTGGTATATAGTATAGCCCATTTATATGACATTTTGTTTATCTTTATTGTCAAAGATAAGAAAGGAGTTAGATAATTGTCTCATCAACACAATAATTTGGTTATTTGGAGACTAACAACACACTGTTATTTTGTTCTAAGTGAAATTCCACGGAGGAGAATTTTGCCTTGACAGTGGCATTTCTGCCTACTTTCCAATTTTCACAGGGTTTTTTTTTACATGTACTTTGATGTTGTACCTCTAGTTTTCTGTCTAATCCAAATGACTAGCCAATACCTTACTTGTCAGCCCTACAGGTACTACCCCCTGACAATTGAAAACCGGGCTTGAAAAATTCAGAGATCCTTTTTGGCCCATGTCAAAATTTTAACCCGAATCATTCTAGTTGGGAGTCCAGTGCAGCCTTTTATCTTTATTGTATACTACTGTCTGTTTTATTAGAGATTAATTGCCGTAGATTATATGATGCTAGTACTGTTAACATTGTGGCTGTAATAAATGGTATTCTATATACAGATTCCAGACCATACAACATTATAATTATAGCTGATAAATAAAATATACTTCCAAACACCAGGTTTAATGTACTGCAAGAAAACAATTTGTTTTTATTAATATCATATCTGAGCATGATCACTATTAGAATACAGTATAATAGACTTTACAACTAAGACATATTAATAAGAGAGAGAGAGAGAGAGAGATGGGCTTTAACGTCCACTGTCCACAAACTAGGTCATTTCGGGACTAACACATGGTTTAATTTTATTTTGCTTGTGCGTAGGGGTCTTTAGCAGTGGGAGGAAACCGGAGGACCCAGAGAAAATCCACGAGGTTGGACAGGTGACCCTACTCCTTGTCAAGTACAACCAGGGAAACGAAACCACGCCAGTTGACTCAATGACAGACCTTATGAAACAGCACACACATACTAACCATTCGGCCATCCCCCCACTCCATATTCATAAGACGTAATATGGTAATAAGTGTAAAATTTGGCTTATAACAGCCATCACAGGTTCTATTATTGTTAATACACATTTATTACTTGTTTTACATAATTCTAGTTTGCTCAAGTTTGAATTTCTAATAAGTGTTACGAAAAACTTCAATAATTATGTGTTAAATTACCAATGTTTTCAATATAGTCTATATACTTTAAATACAGAATAATTCAGGCCTACATACCTTTTAAAGTTGATATTAATGGAGATGAATATAAATATGGTGATGGCAGTTACTGTACATGGAATACGACTAGGATCTACGTTCAGTCTTTGTGAATATCTGCAATTTTAACAAAATGTGTCACTATATAAGACTTTTTTCAGATATTTGCCAGCATTAACAACTGACTGGGAAAAAGATCATAAACTTGGGATAATGCTAAAAATATTGTCAAATTCTTTGAATAGAGCGAGAAATAGGGTTTTACTGTCCACTCAACACAAACTAGGTCATTATGGTTCAATTTTATTTCAATAACCTGGTTTACAGGGCAGAGAATATAAAACAAAAAAATATTTGTATGTAAAATAAAAATAACAGTCCTGCATAAATTTCTAACAGATTTAAAATATAAAACTTAATAACTATCTAATAACATGAATTGGGGTGCAAGTGCAGTAAATTGAGATTAAAACATTATTAAATAAATTGGTTTATACTTACCGTAGATTTTTAACCCAAACCAGCATTGATGGAAAATTTAATATGATAATCCACAGTAACAACAGAAGTAACATAAATAGAAAGTTAAACTGTGACCTGTCTTCTTTACTTTTACTTTGTTGTGATAAATAATATACTCTTAAAACCTGCAAATACAGCGTAGGAACATAACAAAACTTGGTACTCAAAATGATGAAATGCCAACATTAATATAATGAGGACTAATGTTAAAGTTATTTCATGAGTCAAATTTATCAGGATACCAGATATATTGACTGGGACTGCCTCATTGGAGCTCAGTGGCAAGTGGTCTCAGGTATTCTGTAAAGAATAAGCAAATGCCGCCTTATCAACCTGTAGCCACACCGCTCAAACTGATAAGAGATTAAAGAGGTAATAATGCTCAAGCAAAATGACTAAAATTTTGTTGGTTGGACAAGGGAACTTGAGTAAGAAGTGGTATTCAGGGCTCTAGGACAAGTAAGCATACCCTGCCTAGTGTATGACAATCTTCACATTCACAACCTAGAGCTAACTGGAAAACTAAACAAAGAACATAACAATTTACAGCAACACTAAATGTAAAAGTGATTTGTGTTGAATGTTATTTCAATAATGAATAATATCATTCAATAAAGTTTATATGTTAGGTTCAATAAAAGATTAATATAGGTATGAATTTATAATTACCTTGATAATAAGAAGTAAATATATAATAAAGAGACCAGCAGTTCCACAAAACATCATTGATATTAATATAGCTGTTACTCCTAATACAACCTGTATTAATATGCCTATTGTTAACACAGAGTTTGGAACCCTAAAATAATAAATATAGCAATTATTAATATATCAAATGTAACGAAATTAAATTGTTTTTATGGTTTAAATATATCCAAATTTCTTTACAAATTAGTTTTATTAAATAGGAATTCGACTCTTCTGTTAAACTTTTATCCCCCAATTCAGAAGCTCCACAAATATTTAACTTTTAATAAAGAAAAACAGAACCAAAATATCAATAGTAGATAATTTCAAACTTTTACCCAAAGGATGCCAAATGCTGTGAAATTTTTATTTCATCTTGTCTTTGTCAATACCAAATAAAAACCAATTTTGGACTGATATTCCTTTTAGATTCATCTTTCACAATATTGTAGTTGGCAGTTTGCAAGGGATTCAATATCCCCTAAATAAATATGTGTTGACAATAAGTACTTACCATGAAAATATTTTGGAAAAAACTTTGCTTATAGTAGCTATGAAGTAATACAATAAAATACACTGAAAATAAGTTGTACCAAATGCCAAAATGTAGAGGATTGTAGATAGAAATGGTGACCAGACAGATTTATCAGTAAGAGAATGACTATCATCTAATGGTAGACCTAATGTGTGTGTTATTTCTTCTATATTCTCAACACTGAAACATAAAACAAACTTAAATGAAAAGGGGTTTAACGTCCTACTGCACAAACTGGGCTAATGAAGACGGTCTTGCACCCTACAGTGTGCTATGAGGGAAATATTATTATTATTATTGTTCGATTTATATAGCGCTTCATTACACGTGAAGTGTTTCTAAGCGCATATCACAAACATATACTTCAAACACACAGAAACAATCAAAATCAGGAGAACATAATTAAACACAGCTGCCTGTTAGGCGCTATTATTCAAAGGTTTATATCCAACAAATCAACCGGCTAATCTCTATATTGAACTCAGTCGAGGTATTACCTGATGAACACCTACACCAAGTAGAGTTCAAAAATAAAAACAAAGTTTAAAAGAATCAACTTCATTAACAAAAATTAAACAATCAAAAACTAAACAGATAAATCAAATTGAAACGAAACAAATAAAACAAAGAAAATGAAAATTGCAGTTCATTACATTCTACATTAACAAAATAAAGGAAATCTACTTGTGAAAAATTTTTCAAAAAAATAAGAGCAAAGTAACACTAATTTTAATACTTTTTTAACGAACATATCATAAATATAATTAATTTTACCTATAATATCTATTTCAGAAATCAGACTTTATTTTGCAAATAAAATAATCCAAAGAGTTGTGTTCGACCATTATATTTAAACAGTATTATGCTGTTATATATATGATAAAGTGAAAGTGATGAGAGTTAGAATTAATGTTAACAATTTGATAATTACTATATTTAATTTGTAAGCATGTCTTTGATAGATCATGTCAGATGACCGAACTTAACAAATATAATTATTTTTATTACCTATTTACTTTGCCGAATATAAAAAAACCCCATTAAATATGGTTTATCGTCCTACTTTTCAGCACCGACCGGGATAACGAAGAAGGGAGTACGCCGTGCAGTATGCTATGGGTCAAATTTTATCTAAGATTATCTAGCAGTTGAGGATAAGACAATTAGATGAGTTTAAGTTCCTGTTGAAATATTGCCCGGACAGCGGCACTATGGCCTACTCTTATATCGAATTTCAACTTTCAAGGGTTCTTTCATTGGCACACCAATTTGTTCAAGGGACCTCAGTTTTTTTGTTCCATTCGCATTAATTTACGTTGCCCCTTGACAGATCCTCTGTCCTGCACTGACAAGGGGGAACCACACTGGAAAATCCTGATGAACTTTCTTGGTCAACTAGGGGATCAAACACTGGACCTCGAGGTTAATAAGCCAATGCCTTACTCACCGAGCCACCACAGCTCCCTCAAACTTTAGTATTTCATATATATGTATTGTTATGTGTGTGAACATGGGGCCAAGAAGAATGTGACTGCATGAGAAGCATCACAAAGAATCCACTGTTGGTCAAAGATGAGGTGTTTTAACCTGATTGAGATAACCGCTCCAATCTGAATTTTAGTTCATTTGGAATATCTATTAAGCTTTTGCTACCTATTTCTTGTAAAGAAAAAAAAATATATTGGTTGTTCTTCTAAAAAACCCTCTTTCTTCCAAATTTGTAAGTTTTGAAATTAAATAGAAGGAAATAAAAATTAAATTGGATTTGGATGTTAATTAATTTGCTTTGGTAAGCATTTTATCTGTGCATGAAGAATTCTCTGGTGAAGAGTATATTTTTGGGGCTCTGAATTGGTACAATAAACATGAATTGTTAACCTTAAAATAACTCTGATTATACTGACAACTGGAACTATCATATATGGTTTACAACTATCCCAGACAATATCTTGTGGCTTTACAGATTCATCTTCTGTAAAAGAAAATTAATGAAGGTTAAATGAGTTACATGACACCGATAAGCAAATCTAACGATCACTTCAAAAGGTCTCATTATTATGAACACAAGTTTTCAGACAAATTATTTTGACTATTTGTACACAATTCGGTAGTTTGATTGATTAATTTACTTTTATCAATATGTACCAACGAAATCTGGAACTACCGGTAGTCCTTTAATACCAAATTTAATACATTTAAGTAAATACCTTTTTTAACACTTAAAATATATCCCAAGGCCATTAATAGAACGGCAACAAAAGCTGCTGGAAATAACACACCATAAAACCTTATAATCTGAAGACAGAAAATAATATCAAAATAAAACACAGTTCAACAAATACAAGATAAAATAAGGTTGCCAGGCAATCAAATAATTACCCAACATTAGCTTTGTCAAATGAGTAATAATCAAAGGTTGTTCGAAGTGTTCTATCTTTTCTTAAAAATATATAGAGAGATAAATGGGGTTTAATGTCCACTTAACACAAACTAGGTCATTTTTGGACTAACACATGGTACAATTTTATTTCCATAATTAGCAGTAGTAGGAATCAGAGGATCCGGAGAAAACACACAAGATTGGACAAGTGACACTATTCCTTGTCATGTGCAAGCTTGTGCCACTTGACTCAATCACTGATTTTATGATCTGTAATGAATATCAAGCTTATCTTGAAATATAAATGATATGTATTTTTGTGGTGTATCTTCTTAATACATTGAATAATTTGTCTGATTTGAGCATCTTGTTTACATCAAAGAGAACCTAGCTCTTTAAAAAAATTATCAGACAAAATAATCAATCTGATTTTTTTCTTTCCTTTCCCTACATGTATGAATACATTTATTTTTTCTTTTCAAGTAGAATTGAAAGTAAACTAATTATTTAATCAATAACGGGTTATAAATTGTCCAAGGAAAAACAATAAATACGTCAATATGCCAATTAAATAAATAATAAATTACCAATGTTTTCCTCTCGTGACTTACAAATGTATTTTATTTCCAGAAAAAAACTTGTTGATTTGTTTTTTGCCATAATCGATTTCTAGCCTACCTACTCCAGATGCTTTAGAGTACTTAACGAATAAATGGATAAATAATTAAAAATCAATTCGTCTGAATTTGTCGTCTACAGAGATCAACTGTGGCATAGATCCTGTCATGATATGGAAAGTGACCAGATCATTGTCAAGTTTACCTAGCAACCGGCACCACCATATTGATTTTGGATAGTTATTACTTTTCTCGAAAAAACATGTAGACATTAACAGAGAAATATTTGGTGTTTGTGTTTTGTTCAACGAGGCCTGTATTCGTTAATGTACCAGTAGGTAAAATTTAAAAAAATTATATATAATTTATATAGTAAATTCTTAGAAGTAGAAATTAATCAGTTTTAAAAGTAACTTTATCTTATTTATAGAATAGCAAATTGAAAATTTTGCCACATTTTACATCCTCTGCAGATGATGTAACCAAGTCAGTGAGATGTGAGACCTATTATAAATGATGGATAGATTTTTTTGATGAGTCTCTTTTTAATCTGATTTAATCCAAGCTGGAAGATTATCTAATGTTAAATAATTAATCTGGGTGCATTTTAAGTGTTGATAAAGTGATAATAATTTAGATAATTGTCCAATAATGTAAATAATGCTCAGTGGCTTTAAGCACTTCAAATCCTTTAAATACAAGAAGTATGTTAAACCAAAATAACATAATATACTGTCAATAGATTAAAGCTTCAGGGTTTATGTGTTACTTACGGTAATTACTACAAGATCACAGGAAAGGTTATCAATATCTATATTATTAATAATCTTAGTTTAAGGGTATTATATTAGAATCTATTGTTGTATATTAATATAGGTTAATCCTGTATTATTAATCTCATACACACAATAAACTAACAACATTTTTCACAGGAGGAAGATTTGATTTTTATTATCTACATATAAAAGAAACACTTAACATTATTTTTTAAATTGACAATCCTATAGTCTATTGACTTGTAGTTGTGTATACAAAAAAAATGAAACTGTATTTTTATTATTAGGACACATAAATAATGAATGCAACCCACTCAACAGTATAACTATTTTAATACTAAATTCTAAATAATTTGTTAGCTTATGTTGGTGATTAAGAAAAACAAGAAAGTTTTGATTTCTACCAATCTTTCTGGGAGTCATTTGAGTGCAAATAATCATCAGCTGCTGTCATCTTATAGATATAAAAACATCCAATTCACTAATTGAAACATAATATATATGAGTGAGAGGCTATTTGTGGCACATCTTATATCTAAGCAATAAATTCGACCTCATGAATTTTTGTTTTCTTATAAAAAAAGGTCCATACTTTGAAAATCAAATAATGCCTCGAAATTCAGTCAGTCAATTCAGGACAATAGCTGAAAGACAGATTAGGGAAATTAATGAAATACTTTGATCAATTTAGTGGTCTAATCTACTAAAGTGTGTGTTATTGCTTTTATGGTATATATTATATATACTGTATGTATGAGATAATCCACTGATCCTCTTAATCTTATTATAACCCCTATTTCTATACTATTACTTCACATACCAAATAGACAGACAGTCGTAAGTACGTTCATAACAGAGAGATAGATATATTTCATTTGTTTCAATAAGGGCAGACTTTAAATAGATAATATTAATTCCGTGACGTTTAATTTTCAGGAAGGATAAGACAAACCATTACATGGTCACCATGGTACCAGAATCACATTGATAATGAATGAAGAAATCTTAGCCCACCATACCAAACTACACAACTGGTTTGAATTGGACAAATTGTCCAAAAACAGCTATTTGGCAGATGTCCCTGGAAACAAAGGACACCATCTCAATCCGATAAAAGCTAAGGATATTGATTCATGGAGGACAGAGGTGAATAAAATATATAACAAAAAGCCTAAATCAGCAAGGCGGCCATTGTTTAGACAATGTCATCACAGTGCTCCATTCGAGAGAGATTTCAGTGAAGTTAGAACTCAGAGAGTAAAGTCCGCACCACCACTTGACAGAAAACTAAAACTTGAGAAATACAATGAACCACAAAGTATCGTAGAACGTTTGAACAATATTTCTATACATTATAATAGTGAACGTGGAGCTATTCCTAGAATTGAAATATCCAAACCAACAACATCAGCAACTGAATTCGCTGATGGTAAAAGTGGGGATGTTGACACAGATAGTGTTCTAAGAGAGGAAAGCTTCAGTATATATAACGACAACAACAGCACTCAAACAGAAGTAGGTTCAAGCGAGGAAAAATTGTCCAAATCAAACAGATTGCGAATTTTTTATCATAAAGATAAGCCAATGGTATCTATTAGATCGGTATCAAACGGTCTTCTGAATTGTCTGACTGTTGACGACTGCCGTATAGCCGCTAGATACAAGCCTAACAACAACATAGTCACAACCATGAGAGAAAATGTACAACAGGAAGAGAGTTCAAGTTTAGATGGATCGGTGGATCTACCAATGAAGATTAGTTCTGGATCAGCCTTTACAACAATGTCTATTCTTGAAGAAAAGGATAAAATATTTAGAGAAAACTTGGCAAAGAGAAATAAGAGGAACAAAATAAAAGTACATCAAAATATAAATGGTTTGCAGAACTCTTTAGATACTAACAGAAGTGGTAACTGGATGAAACCAGTCTGTGATACTTATACAGACGAAAAACTGTCATCTGACAAACAAGCCAGTGAAGGAGGACCACTTTACAGAAAGATGAACTCAGCACTTCACAAAAAAATGCACAAGCTTGTGAATGCCAAAAAAGATAAATTACATAAAATTTACCTCGGGGATAATTCTGTGAATAAAAAATAGTAGGCCTATATTAGGGCAGACTAACAACCTTTATTGCATTCAATAAATATAGCATTTAATCATTTTACAATGTGCACTTCTAAAAGTGACCATTTTTTGGACCCTGGCAAATGTGGTGAATTAACATTATTTGCTGGCAACATGAAATAAAGGTAAGTGTAATGGTCCCAGACTTGAAGAAAATTATGTGTTGGATTCCAGGCTTTCTTGTTAAATTTTAATTCTTTTTTTTATAGATCATGAACTTATACTCAAACAAATACTTGAATATTCAAATTCAAAGAGTTTTTCAAGCATATTCAAACTTACCTTTTGGTATTCATTATTTGATGTCAATTGAAACTAATGGACTATTTTTTGTCAGCTACGAAATATTTACTGCTAACATTAATAATAGTAGCAAATAATTTATAGTGGGGAAAAAACAGAGATCCTATTCTATCAGTGTCAATTAGTATTGAATAACGAATACCAAACAATCAGTTCAAATAGCCTTGAAACTAATATTAAAAAAACCCCAAAAAACAATCTGATAAAGAAAAATACTTCAATTTGAAACATTTACAGTTTCTAGAAATTTTAAATGCATCAGAAATGTTCCAAAAATGGATCATTTTCATTGAAACAAATACTTGAATAGTAAAATTAAAATATGACTGCTGTGTATATGTATTCTACTTTAGTAGTCAATTTTACACTAATAGCTTTGATTAGGCCTTTACAGCAATATTTATTTGGAAGAGGTATTATTTTGAAACCAAATTTACATACCATAGATATATATTATAAGATTCGTTGCTCTCTACTACAGAGCCTAAATCCAATAGTGAGATATGTCAAAGGCACCAATTTCAACAATGTCCCTTTAATTAAATCTACTAAAATACTTAAGACAGTAGCGCTATCACAATTCAGTAAACCTAGTATGAATTAGGGAATAATACGTAGTGAATGTATAATCTTAATAACGTTTGATATCGTATTGATGTCATGATCTTATATTAATATAATGGTATTACTATTATTAATTTGTATTAAAATTTCTAATGATTCATATTTTTTGGTGCAAATGGTACGAAGAAATAACATCCTCCACAATTAATAAAATAAATGTTGTATTAATTAATGATTATGTATAATAAGTATGTATAATAATTATGTATGTTATAAAATACTCATTAATTGTATTCATATTTTTAATGATTTATTTTTATCTATCTAAAAAAAAGGAAGAAATCATGACTGGTGCAACTGGTAGATTGATTTTGTCAGTAAAGAAATATAATCCTCCACAGCTTTTCAAAATGGATATTATTATCATGTATATTATATAATTAGAGATGCATTATGTAAGATTCAGATAAAGAGCTGGCTGCTCTTGTTATAATAGTTCAAAGAGCATCACTACCATCCACATTCCTGTTTTCATTGATATGGTACTTTTTAAAATGAAGAGCATGAAATATGAAATGGCTGCAATGACTGTAATATGATAAGAGGCAAAGATGGCTAGGTGTTGGGTTTGTTTTGCCAAATTTATAGACTAAATATTAACCAAAAAGTGGGTGTGACACTGGTTCAAGGTGTTGGGGCATGCATTAAAATACACAGTTGCTGTCTTTGCAGTATAAGGAATAAATATGTGAAGTTCCATGGGGGTTGGATATGGAACAATATAAATAGGTACCACCCAGTTATTGAATTTGAACAAAATCTGTTAATAATTGCAACCTGTAGAGTATTTACATACAAAAAATTAACGAAAAAGTGGGTGTGGTACCACGCCCCTGGGAGTTGGGACATGCACCAAAATAAATAATTGCTATCCTTACGGTATAAGGAATAAATATGCCAAGTTCCAAGATATTCCATTCAGAATTCCAGCCTGTAGACAAAAAAAAACCCACAAAAATTTTGGACATGGACCATATAAATAGATACGATGCTATGATGGATCATACTGAACTGGATCCAAATCTGTTAATAATTGCAACCTGTGGATTATTTTACAGACAAAATATTTAAAAAAAAGTGGGTGTGACACTGCCGAAAGGGGGGGGGGATCATGAACCAAAATAAATAGTTGTCTGTTCTCCTTAGTGTATAAGGAATAAATATACCAAGTTTCAAAATAATCCATTCAGAATTTTGGCCTTCACGAAAATTGGGCATGGCTCTGCCCTGGGTCGGGGCACGCGCTAAAATCAATAGTTGCTTTAGGCTATATGGAATACATATGCCAAGTTTCAAGATGATCCATTTAGAATTGAGGACAGTATACGATAAACACAAAAATTAGGCGTGGCTCTGGCCCTGGGAGTCGGGACATGCACCAAAATCAATAGTTACCTATAAGGAATACATATACCAAGTTCCAAGATGATCCTTTACAAAATGGGTGTGGCATTCACAAAAAAACAACAGGGATCATCCTTAGGTTAAAAGGATTCATGGAGTAACTCCAGACACTCCAACAAAGTTTAATTTATTGAACTGTTTGAACACTAATACAATACAGGCAAATCAAATGTAAACATTGGTATTCACAGGTTTCTGATGAGTGTTTCATAAGTACTGTTCTAATATAAGTGGTAAGGTCACCAAGAAATAAAGATATTCATGTCTCCGCCTACTTGAATCTAAGATCTGAAGATGATGACGAAGAGTATTTGATAACCTCGCCAATTTGATCACTGTTTAGGAATTGTATAAATAAAAGCCTTCCATGTGAGTCCAATCAGTCTGAAGAGTTCAATACGAACGAAACTAGTCACTGATACCCGGTAAAACCAGGGGCCGTATTTATAAAAATTCTTAGAGTTTTCATAACTTTTACTCTAAGACTTTCTAAAACAACATTTAGTTAAAAGTTACTCTTTAGAAATATTTATAAAGGGTCTTAGAGTTACTTTTAACTAAATGTAAGACTTGGGTCCTAACCAAACTCTTAGCGATGTAACCATGGGAAATCCGGGGATTCCCTGAAGTTATTTATAGCTCAGTGTTGATGTCATGCAATCACTCTACTCACTGTAGGTTGACTGACGCCGAAATCGTCACCACTACACAGTTGCATTTTACCAGTAGCTAGGAAACGAAGCGTAATGGCGATCTTCATCTCAGCGTCGATTGAGAAATTTCGTTTAGTAGGACTTGTAAGTAGATGCCGAACTAAATCTGTCACAAAAAGAATCCCACCCATGTCCATTCGATATCTCCTTATCAACTCGTCATTGTTGTACTCCACTAAGAAATCTCTTCTTGTTTTAAACTCTCTTAGGCGGCGTACACGGACGGCCATGTTAACCAAGATAAGAGTACTTTTAACAAGTTAGGAGTGCTACAGGAGGACTCCTAAATATGTGTCATAGTTAGGAGTAATTCTTAAAGTAAAATGTTTTATAAATAGGTCTTAGGAAAATCTACAAAGTTAGGAGTAATTTTTGACAGTTAAGAGTTGGTTCCAACTCTTAGAATTTTTATAAATACCGCTCCTGGTCTTAATAGCCACTCTTATCTCTTATATTAAATAACAATAACTAGCAAAAAAAATATTGGTTCATAGCATACAAGTAATTACATTTTCGAACGGTAAAACAAGAACTGTATTTAACATACCTGTCCTAAAGTATCAACAGTGGATAATTTAAGTTTAAGTTGATAAGAACAAGATGGATTTAGATACAACTCTAAATGAACAGCCCCACCATCAAAATCATTTGGTCTACCACTCTGTAATTTGACATCTAATTCACTTCTTTTATTATAACTGATAGAATAGAAAATAATAAAACATAGATTGTTTCAATGGCATTTAGTAATTGAAATTCGTACACAGTTCTATGGAATACACTGAGCGATGTTTTGATAGTAATTCAGAAGCCTAGTCAAAACATTGTTCAGTAATAAACATTAATTGTATTATAGAATGGTGATCTGTGTAAAATAAAACATAATCTAATTGTATTCAACATTAGGAATATAACTTGCATTCCTACATTTCTATTGCTTATTATAAGTGTGTTAGGTTTTGTTCTTAAGCAGCTGATCGTCATTGCAGGATTTTGAATCACTTGTATGTATTCAACAAGTATCGAAAGGAACCGAGATCTTTGGGATATAAACATACATTTTAAGTTTTATCAAAATCGGACAAAAATTGTGACTTCTAGATGGTCCACAACCTTGGTATTACATACTTTTACAATATTTGTGCACAAGGCACAAGGTGCGGCCATTTTGTTGTGCAATTTTGGTCCGATTTTCATGAAATTCGAACTCAAACGTCTTTAGGGCGTAACAGTGATACATTTGAATGGTCTTTAAAATCAGATAAAAATTGTGAACTCTAGAGGGTCAAGAAGCTAAATGTATGATTTTTTGTACAATTCGGGACTCTAATCCATGAAGTTATGGTCCGATACATGCCAATATTAAACAGAACCAAGGTCTTTGGGATATCAACCTATATCTTAAGTTTTGTCAAAATCTGATAAAAATTGTGTCCACAAACAAAATGTAATTGGACGGACAAGGGCAACAACAATGTACATCCAAAATGATTGAATCCAAGCTGGGAGATTATCTACCATAATATTTTGCTTTTTAAATAGATGTTAAATAATCAATTTGGGTATAATTTAGCTGTGGAATATTGGATATTGTCTAAAAAAACCAATGAACTGGATTGGTGACTTTAATCTTGAATTGAAATGTGATAATTGATTAGTAGTTTAGCTTATATTCGATATCTTCTTCAGGAATGCTGATTTCTACAATAATGTAACTCAATACCTGCTATATGTATATACTGTTTCATTTGACCATGGAATATTTAAACTCAACACATTTCCTTCTTCTTCTACAAATATAAACAATATTATAGCTTATTTAAATTGCTGTCAATCTAACATAGCTCTTCCATTAAAAAATATCTTTTAGGCTGAAAAAGTCATTAGTTCCTCCAGTTTTTGGAAAACATTATATTGGTAGAAGTACTGACAAACATATATAGTTTGTTGGGAGGATGTAGAGACTTTAATAGTACCTAATATTTAGAATTTTTGGAGCAACTTTATTAGTACCTAACATTTAGAATTTTTTTGAAAAATATATATTAAATATATTAATAAAAACACAGAAAAATGACAAACCTGTGCTGCAGAAAATGACAGAGAGAGAGAAATGGGGTTTAACATCTACTCAATAATTCACTTGCACGTAGGGGTCTTTAGCAGTGGGAGGAAACCGGAGGACCCGGAGAAAACCCACGAGGTTGGACAGGCGACCCTACTCCTTGTCACGTACAACCAGGGATTCGAAACCACGCCAGTTGACTCAATGACAGGCCTTATGATGCAGCGTGTACATGCTAACCATTCGCCTATCCACCCCCCACCCCCAAAACAAAATGACAGGACACCAGAGGGATTGTGTCTGACAATGTTTGTGACAGACAGCTTATTTCCATGCATTGGTGTCAGGTTAACAATGATTTAACATGAGGATACTGGAGTAAGAACTATGCAAATATCTTTAAAGGACATCCATTCAATACTACTAATATTATTATAACTTAAATGACCATATAATATCTAAACACTTATTTATTAATAAGTATCTATATATTACAAAAAACTTTTAAAAACATAAAATAAATGATCTATTATACCTTTTTCCTTTTTCTGACAGCGCCTCGGATTGACTAGAGCAGTATATGCTTTTAATGGACTATCCATGCCAGATAGATGTAGACTGTAGAAGACTGTTTTATTATTAACATGTAACATGGCCGAAGCATCCATTACAGCTATAGGATATGATATTATGGTATCATAGATTCCTGGTAATGTAAATATTAGATGTCGCTGCATACTGTTATATAATTCTACCGTTATAGATACCTGCAATATAGATAAATATATGAACCAATACGGTCATACTTATTTTCAACTAGCCAAACGCCAAAACATTCATTTTAATTTTCAAATAAAATATGTGAATTATGAATTAGGAGCAAACATTTCTTTGTGATAAATTAACAAATTGTTATCTTTAATTTTTATTCAAACAAAAATTCTCCAACGATTCAGTATTTCTAAGATCTTCAAGACTCGATGCGTCATATAGCACTATAGGAATCCATTGCAAACTACAATATTGTTAAAGTTTAATCTCTAATTACGAATATCAGTCCAATATTTTCAGGGGGGTGGATGGCTGAATGGTTAGCATGCGCGCGCTGTATCATAAAGTCTGTCATTGAGTCGACTGGCGTGGTTTCGAATCCCCGGTTGTACGTGACAAGGAGTAGGGTCCCCGTGTCCAACCTCGTGGGTTTTCTCCGGGTCCTCCGGTTTCCTCCCACTGCTAAAGACCCCTAAGCGCAAGCGAATTATGGAAATAAAATTAAACCATATGTTAGTCCCGAAATGACCTAGTTTGTGTCGAGTGGACGTTAAACCCCATTTCTCTCTCTCTATCAATATTTTCAATATATTCATTTTGCATTTGAACTATTAAAGCAAGAAAGGTGAACTCTTATCTAAACCTTACATAATGTATCTTTAATTATATGTTTAATAATCAATCTGAATACATATTTAGCTTGGATTAAGCCATGAGAAATTTGATATTTTAGCAAAAATGCAAATGATGCATTGAGTATCTAAATTTGAATAATTGAAAATACATTTCCCTTCTAGAATTGTTAGTGTGCAAAAATCTTATGGTATGCAAGATATTTGTACAAATGTAAACCTGAAATTTTGGCACAGCCCATCTCTCATGCCTAAAAAAGATGATAATGGCAAACAAAAAGATAGGTTGTCAGGCAACGAAACATATGTCCACAGCAGCTAAATTGTCAGAGTGGTCGTAAAGGGTTGTTGCATATTTATTCTTTTGTAGGTAATTTAGGGCATTTACAAGACAATTTCATACAGATCAGATTATAATTTTTGTCGTTTGAGAGTTCACAAGGTTCTACAAACTGAAACAAGGACCTTAACTCAGGAAGTAATTTACAGAAATTCTTGAAATTTGACAGGCTTTTTTGCTTTACTAATTTAAATAATGCATATAAATTTCATACAGATCATATGATAACTTTTGTCATTCAAATGTTTACAAGGTTCACAAAGTAAAACAAGAGCCATAAATCTAGAAGTAATTGACCGAAATTTCACTGATCTAATGATGCATATAAACTTCATACAGATCAGATGATAACATTTGTCTGTCGAGCATTGACAAGGTTTAACAAAGTGAAACAAGGGCCATAACTCTAGACGTAATACACAGAAATTGCTGAAATTCAATAGGCGTCTTCATTTCACTAATCTAAATAATGCATATAAATTTCACATAGATCGGACAATAACTTTTGGCGTTTGAGCGTTCACAAGATTCAACAAAGTGAAACAAGGGCCATAACTCTAAATGTAATTAACAGATATTGCTGAAATTCAATGATTCTTCTTTCTACTAATTTAAATGATGCAAATAATTTCATACAGATCGGCAGATATCTTCTGTTGTTAGAGCATTCACAACGTGCAACAAAGTGAAACAAGGGACATAACTCTAGAAGTAATCAACGGAAATTATTTAAATTAAATAGGTCTCTTCATCTTACTAATGTAAACAACATATATCAATTTTAAAACAATCGGATGATAACTTTTGGCGTTCAGACTAGATGGACAGACTAGATGGATGGACAGGGGCAACGGCAATATATGTCCACATTTCCATGTGGCCGTATAAAAAGGGGCATTTGGGGAAGTTCAGTCAATTTCCTGATATTCATGCCAATAGCTCATCATTATTATTTAAATATCTACATGTAGCTTACTCTATGTTTAACTGGCTTTAATACTATGACAACATGTGAACTTTTTTCACCCAAATCTTCCATCAAAGTTCTCAATATCTGAAACATTTAAATGAACAACAATTATAGAGGAAGCAATGTTTAGTGCATTTACATCACACAAATTCGATGTCATAGATATAATTTGTTATCCTGCTACACAAACATTGTCATATTAAAAGGGGTAAAAATGTTGAAATACCTTTTTGTTAGGATGTGTAGATGGTAGAAGACGGACTTTATCTGATAAACTGGTGCAAGTTTTACTGAAAACGATTAAACATTTTACAATTTTAAATCTTTTCTTCAACATTAAATTTATGCAACAGAAGTTGATGTAACCCTTATTTCATAACAATTATTCCATCTTCATACTAATTTAACACTTCAATAAAAAGATTATATTTGACCTTTTTAAAACTCATCTCATATATCTATAAAAAATTTCACATACCAACGATCCTGACCTTTAGCTATAGTACAAACACATATCCAATCATCATAAGTCTATAAAATATATAATAAAACCCATTAAACAATTTTTCTAAAAAAAATAATTCAACCTTGAAATTAGTTAGATTATTTGTTCCTCATTCTATTTAATTTAACTTCTACTGTACTATTCATTATATCTATTAACTTATTTTTAGATTTAATTCATTAAATTTTAATTATTGAGAAACAAATTTACCAGATTAGCCATAACTAACAAACTATTTTCATCATCTTCAACTAAAGGAATGGCTAGATATTTGGAAGACACAACCTAAAAGAAAATATCAATATATGCTAAAAAATTAAATAAGATCTGAACGATTTGGTGAAACTCTGAGGTTCTGTGTACACATTGAAGTGCACATAAAAAAAACCCTTTACAGTTGGAATTAGAAATACTAAACACTACATGATGTGTACCCTCTACACTACATGATGTGTACCCTCTACATTAGCCTGGTTGGTGCAGAAAAGTAAGGGGTGTGGTCTGGTGGTTTAACATGCGCGTGTCAAGTGGCATGGTTTCAATTTCCCGCTAGTAGTAGACTCGCCTGTCCAACCTTGTGGGTTTCTCTGAGTCCTCCAGTTTCCTCCCACTGCTAAAGACCCCTACATGCAAGTGAATTATTGAAATAGAATTTGACTATATGTTAGTCCCAAAATGACCCAGTTTGTGTAAAGTGTACGTTAAACAACCCCATTTCTCTCTCTTTCGCAGAAAAGTAGGACATTAAAAGCTATAGAGCCCATTTTATTTCATTTCATGTCCTATATTCGGGTGACCAAATACATTCTTGCTTTATATGTTAGTAATTTCTTGGCATTCATAATATCATAATAACACTATTACGCAAAATATACAATTATTTATAAAAGCAATTACCTGAGGTTGTTCAAATTGCCAGAAAGTATCAATTTTCTCTTCCCATGGAATAGTAGCATCAAGAGTTATCTCCCTGGATAGTTCAGGTGTAAATGGTGTACCAGAATTAGTTATGTAATGATGTTTAAACACAGCCATTCTTCTGTCAGGATCAGTTATTATCTGTGTAAACATTACAATGTCAATGAAATTATCATATGTATCTAACCCAATTAGAGAATAAAATAAATATATAAATAAAAAAAATATACATATTGAATTAATGTCCATTTAATATTAGTGGCGTTATGGGTCTCCGGTTTGTTGGCCATGAAATTTCCTCAGATTTTCCAGCCTGGTTTCCCCTTATCAGTGGGGTAGGTTAGGAGGAGGTTCTGGCAAGGCAAAAACATGTCTAGTCGTTTTAATAAAATATTAAACACTCGTTGACTGCATTGGTATTTGCTTGCAACTAGGCCCCATCATTAGGATTATCCAGTTCTAAAGCTTAAAAGGCAATAAAATCTCTTAATTTTGGGGTTATCTCTTCTGCCCACATGATATCCTAACATCAATTCAAACATATTCAATATTACCACTAAAGTCAACTGATGAAACTCTCTAAAAACATAAGTTATACCTGTTTTGTTTTGGGATCAACAATATCAAACAAAGATCTGGTTGTTACGAGAACCACTTGTCTACACCTACAAAAATAATAAAAACTACCATGAAGAAAAAATATGAGTATCATTACAATTATTAATGTAACAGATTTTTGTTAGCAAGGTATTTTGATACGAACTTCATAAAATAATTTCTCTAACTTTAAATTTTCAATACAATTTACTATGAAGTTATAGTAATGCATGTACTTACCATACAGCACATAGATGGTCTGTTGATACAAAGGCCCTTGGTATAGACATTGTCTAAAAATGAAAATGAACCAATAAAGCTAATGAAGACATGCATATGCTACAACAAAGCTATGGGGGAGACTACGACCTACCCTTCTTTTGATTTTTAACATGCTGGCAATGGTTTGCATGGGACCTTGTGGGTTTTACCCATTTGAATTAAAGGGCAATTTCCTTGCCCATCGTTACATCCTGCATAACTTACAAGGCGAATCTATGCTGGACAGTGATTGAACCTGGGATCTCCTGGTTTGTGAGCCAGCACTATGCTTGTTGGGCCACCATGGGTCCTCATCTAAAATAACATATCTGATAACTCTACATTTGAACAATATTCAAGGTGCAAAAAACAAATAGTTCGAAATATTATTAGGTTCAACAAGAATGTTAAGAGTTTCTTCTACTCCCAGACAATAAATCAAATTAAAACTTACACATGTCGAAATATGTCGATCAGGTCTTACAATCTGCAATCAAAATAAATAATCAACTTTACTCCAAACTTTTCTCTAATTCTGACATTACATGTACCAGTATACACAATCTCAAAGAATTACATGTACCATTCACTATACCAAATATCAAATATAGATCTTACAAAATAGGACAATCAGCTTTTACTAAACAATAATTGTAAAAGCAGGGAGGAAAATGGTACTAAACAATAATTGTAAATGCAGGGAGAAAAATGGTACAGCCGTGTTACTAAGCTAAATCTACATCAATTTGTTACATTTTGAATCATACTAGTCTACCCAGCTGAAGATACCAGTAGCAAGGTAACATCAACATAGCACAAAAATTCTGTAGCAAAACTGATACAGTAAAATGGCCTCTCCACTGTACACAAGGTTAATCTTGATTTTCATTCCATCAGACTAACTAGGCAAAACTTTCCTTATTAGACCCCTAGGTGCTACCCCTTACAAGCAGCAATAGAGCTTGAAAAAAAATCCTGAAGGTTCTTTATGGTCTATGCCAATGTTTTAGTCGAGAGTCAAGTGCCCTTACTGCCCATCATATTTAACAGAGTGTATTTACTACTTCTCAAATGGATAAAGTAGTGCTTAGTTAAACCTACAAATTAAATAATATACCTACATCTTTAAGTGATGTCAGTCCATTTCTAACTAGTATATCACGATATCCCCCTCCAGAACTTACAACTGTTACATGATCTAGTGTGGTATAAGCATGTTCTTGCCAATAGTAATTTACATGGTTGTAGAAATCCTGAAGAGACTTTTCAATATGTAAAACTGAAATAGATATTATATCTATACGAATCAAGAAGATAACATCAACAAACATTAACATAATATATTAGCTTAAAGCCTCATTAGTCCAATAAGACCAACAGCCAAAAATAATAGCTGAAATGTGTTCTTCAAACAATAAGCCAAAACTTATGTTATATGCAATCTTGACCTTGATGTTCATGGACAGAAATAAGTTATTCTTCAGTAGCTGACAGTAAATGATAACGTTATGAAATTAATAAAAGGTAATGGATTAATTGATTTTAATAATATTTGGCCCAGTTTGTTTTTTGATGTGTAGAACTAAAATTCTATAATGTCTTTTAGTCTGGAATATTGAGCCATTGACTAAAAACAATGCCATTAAAATTTCATACAGGAATTTCTATATTTCGGACCACAAAATTATGTCAATAACGGTCACCCTGAACTGGCCATAAATTGAGTTAGATTAAGTTGTTCAGTATTTAATGCACCTATCCAGCCTTTGTAAGGATCAATCCTTCTGGTGTCTTTTTTTTTCTGGAATATACCTGTCTTTAATCAGTGTTTTTTTTTTATCGATATTTATAGCACATGTCTGGCAAAAAGTTCAAAATATCAGGTGTTAGTTATTTCCTGGTCTGAGTACCTGTTACCTTTATTTTCACAAACAAACATTTGATTGAATGATGTGATTAGATGACTGACAACTGATATACCACACATCCTTTAGATCATTCAGCGATCCCCTCGTGTAATGGGGTTTGATGTCCACTCAACTCAAAAGGTTTAATTTTATTTCAATAATTAGGTTTAGCGTAGGTAGGGATCTTTAGCAGTGAGGGGAAACTAGGATATCCGGAGAAAACACACAGACGAGGACCAACTCCTTGTCAATTACAAGTGGGGAATCGAAATCATGTCACTTGATTTTAATGACAAACCTTGTGATCTAAAGCGCATGCGTTAGACCTAATGATCAATAATGTTAATAATAATAATCATGATTTACCTGGAGATTGATGTGGAGTTGCCTGGGTTATAATAGTATTAATGCAACTAGCATCAAAATCTTTTAATGCAAATAAGGCTCTAGCAATTACACCTCCCTAAAATAATAACACAATAATTACAAGCCAATAGTGAGGCTGATGTTCCGACGAAATCCTCCCAAAAAGCAAATGACACATATTAATTAATTGCACATTTATCTTTTTCAAAAGTATCATTAATCAAACTGATTATCTATGCTTAGTCTAAGCATAAAATGTTCACTATTAAACTCTGGTTTTGAAGTACCTGGTAGTGAGTGAAACTATACATCACTCTCTACCAATCAAATTGCTTATCCTGAGCCGAAAATGCTCTCATAATCACACTTAGTCAAGGTATTGATGTGATGAAACTATACGCCAAGTTTCATCATTCTCACTTAATTAGAACCAAAGTTATCGTGTCCCAAAACATCAACTAATCGAATTGCTTATCTCTGCTTACCCTAAAAAGAAAATGCCCTCCTTGAACTTCATCAAGGCACTGACCAAATAAACACCTACACCAAGTTACGAGTTGCATTTACGAGTCGAGGATGCATGATAAGTAAAAAAAAAGCGCAGCCAAATATATCATTTTTTAAAACAATAACAACAGAAGATGGTGATGATGATCTTTATAAACTTACCATAGAATGGCCAACAATAACAACAGAAGATGGGGGTGATGATGATGATTTATATAAACTTAAAATCTTTTTGATGCAATGGGCAACATATTCTGAAAAATAAATAGAAAAGTATAATAAAATAGAATAATCCTAGATTTAATCAAATACAATTACATTCACTTGTGGACATTTTTATATTTGATTTTACCGGTATGTCTCTTAAGATGTCTAAACAATATTTAAAAGCAAGAACAAGATAACTCAGTATTCAACATCAGCATCCTTGTACAAAACTTAAGTCAGATTTCAACTGAGAAATTTTTATTAGCAAAAGGCACACCTACTAGAATATGTTGATGTGTCTACAAAGTTTTGTAAAGATATCTTGCCGAGTAGTGCCTGATGTATGCTTGAAAAAAAAAAAGTGACAAAAGGACAAAAGAACAGATAGACAGTGCCCATTTCAATATGTTTACTTGTTGATGTACACATTAAAGAACTCTTCACAGTTGGAATTTGATAAAAGAGTCTGAGCAAATTTTCTCTCATAGCACACTGCATGGTATATGCCTGTCTTCATTAGCTTGGTTGGTTCAGAAAAGTAAAACCCCATTTCATTATCTCATGACTTCAGGAATCCTACCTGCTTGATCAGTTAACACATTTCCATATAACCCTGAAAATTCCTGTAAATAAAAAAGATTTAGCTATATTCAAGTATATATGGATATTGAGCTATATGTCATTTTGTTTTTGCTCCTGCAAGTGCAGCTGTTATATACATATATTCTTTCTAGATACCACCTATTGGTTACCGGTATTTTGGAAGTTCAAGTAGCCTTTTGCATATTCACATTTCCAAAATCAGGTACCATATATAAAGAAGGTATGCACATGGGACACGGCAGTTATTCATATTCTTTCTCAATATCACATATTTATTATTTTGGAAGTTCAAGTACTATATATCTTTATATTTCTAAAAATGATATTATAGTAATTTTTCATTTATTGGTAAATGTATTTCATTTTGAGCAAAGAGTCTACCTTATTTACTATTAACTAATTAAAAAATTACCTCATTAAAATCAACCGAAAAATAATTAAACTGGAACTTGTTTCCGATATTTTCAGATTTTCTTAGAGATACAGAACCCAAAGAGCGCACTTGTCTATAACTACCAGCATTTCCTGGTATAAATAGCACAGGTATACCATCCAATCGTAGTTTGCTACAATAAAGACAGAATTAAATTATACCTTATTGCAACTATTGTATTGAAAATTTCATAGCTTCAACCTAGATTAAGGTACTGGTAGTTATCTTATTTGTTGCAATAATTTTGTTTATGCTAAACAAAAGGTTATCCCTACATGTAAATATGTTCTTTATAGTTACTAGCTTGGTTACTCATGCACTTTATGTTTATTTGGGGGGTTGGATGGCCGAATGGTTAGTACATGCGCCTTGTATCATAAGGTCTGTCATTGAGTCAACTGGCGTGGTTGTGATTTCCTGGTTGTACGTGACAAGGAGTAGGGTCGCCTGTGCAACCTCGTGGGTTTTCTCCGGGTCCTCCTGTTTCCTTCCACTGCTAAAGACACCTACGCGCATGCAAATTATTGAAATAAAAATTGAACCATATGTTAGTCCCGAAATGACCTTGTTTGTGTCAAGTGGACGTTAAACCCCCTTTCTCTCTCTATCTCTCTATGTTTATTTTTCTAGTTGTTTTACTATAGATACATGTATGCCTAATATATATTACCTTATTTTCTGTGCATATGATCTGAAAAATAATGTAGAAGATACATTATAGTAATATTTTGTATAAATCAATGAACATGTCTCAATATATTCCTGAATCAAATGATAGTCTGTTTCAGGTTGATATGGTTCTAATGAACATCTTGATTCAAGGAATATCTTACCTTACACTTACGCACAACAGAAAACAAGCCATTAAATTTGTTCAGTGCTACAATATATAAAAATTATCTTACCCTTCTCCATATATATATAATCCATACTTGGGAAAAGCTTCATCAACAATTTTACCTAGTTTTATTTTCTACAAAAAAAAATTAAAAGAAATTAAGAAATCGTGCACATGCATCTCAGAATGTAGACAAGTCTATATCAAGTTTATATCTTTATCAGCAGTAGTGGAGTAGAATGACAGATTCGACTATTTATCAACAGATTGATTGAAACCTTGTCTTCTGGGCCAGAAACTAAGTAAGACCTAGGATATCTACTAAATTGTACATTATGAAGATCATGTTTCCCTGATGGCACATGGGGTGAACATGATAAAATAACAACTAACACTGGGACGTTTTTTTTTATTTGTGGAAATTTTGTGCAATGGATATTATGCAATTGGAAACCATACACAAATTTGATTGGTGAGGTTCCTAAAACTACTGACTGTGTTTGGAAACATTTGAAATACGCCTTTAAATTAAGCATTTGAAAACATGGGTGAACATTATCATTTATCTTGGAAACTTGCTAGGGTATAGTCTAGTGGGCGTTACTCTAGAATTTACTTCCTGCACAGGCAGTCACTGTGACACATCTATATTTTAAGTATAAAAATAACACAGCATTAGACTATATAGATGTACGGTACTAACTAGACTATAGATCTATATGTAACAATATGTTATTTTAATTTTAGCGACCATTTTAAAATATTGCAATGTTCGTCTTGTTCACCCTTTGATATTGGCGTACCATTATTTCAAATAATTGTACGGGCAACTTGCCAATCGTACATGTACATTATTTATACTAGTGAAATATTGGACTTGTGACTTATTTCACTGTAAAAGCATGTGCAGAGTGCCTGCATTTTAAAGGAGCTAAATCCCTAATATTTGGGACCTACAAATTGACACAAATGGGTCCCAACGTATATAATAATGTAATATGAATGTAATTAAACTGATTTATATATACATTCAATCGTTTCCGTTTTTACTCTAATTTCAAAGCAGTTATGTTTGGCGAAATATGCCAGAAGTCTCAATCGAATGGCAATCTCTAGCGTATGGTTATTCCAGTCTACACCGATAGCATTTATTGCGCATCCTCTCCAGATAAGAATATGGGGTCACCGTTTGACATGACTTGTGGAATATGTCTAACCTCGTTCTTCCGAGTCGCTTGTATCAAATTGCGCTGAAACGCATTATGGTACACGATGCGTGTACCAATTGTAAAATGTTTATTTTGTCTTAAATATTGGATATCAGAAGCCCATCTTTCCCCAGTAAGATCACAACACCAATGTTGATTAAAATTGATAAATTATTTGTGTTTTTCATTGTCGAAGGTTTTGGATGATATTGAGTTAGAGACTTAGCTACTGGTGAAATGAAATGAAATGGGGTTTAACTTCCTACTGTTCTGCTCCAAACTGGGCTAATGAAGACGGGCATACGCCATACAGTGTGCTATGAGGGAAATTTTGCCCGGACAGCGGCACTACGGCCTACTCTTATATCGAATTCCAACTGTCAAGGGATCTTTTACGTGCACGCCAATGTGTACACGGGACCTCAGTTTTTCGTCCCATCCGAACGACTAGACAGCTGTTCTTGTCAGGCCCTCCGTCCTGCATCACTGACAAGTGAGAACCACGCTGGAAAATCTGGATGAACTTTCTCGGCCAATGCAGGGATCGAACACCCGACCTCCAGGCTAGTGAGCCAGCGTCTTACCCACTTAGCCACTTGATCCCCTAGCTACTGGTACTTAATTAAGTTGTTTAATGGTCTCGAGCTTAAGACATTACGTAATATATTGTAAAAACACTCGGGCCTATGGCCCTCTTGTTGTTACAATATATTACTTAATGTCTCGCTCTCGACCATTAAACAATACTTAATAATTATAATAATATTAATAATAAATATGCCCATTGCAAGCTATATTTTTTTTATACCCTGTAATCTGGATATTCATACATCCATGTCATTTCACATGAGTTATTTTCATATAACTTAAGATAATCATAAACTCCTGTTCCAAGAAGAATGACGATGAGCACAGAAACAGCCAATTTGACCGCAGTAGACATGTCATGAACGATTTTGAGTTAGAAAACTTCAAAACGTAAAGCTTCCTAATAATCTGGATAGTTTGATTGTCCAGACGTTTTACAAATTTTACTTACAGTTACCTCCCTTGAACGAGTTCAACGTTTTTCCGGACTTCAAAAATGGTTTTTCGAGTTTTCCCAATTACCCCTAAGTACCACTAGAATTTCCAGTCAACAAACTCGGTCGATGGTTGGGCTAAAATTTGGGAATAGTTTGTTTGACTGAAATAAAAAACGCACTAACTCAAATATGATTACATCGTTTTTTGTCTATTTTGATTATTTTCCCCCAAGTTCAAATCTGACAGTTGAAGTCACAATTTTATTGAGATTTTCCTTCCAATAGCAATACCCTAAACAACGTGTTGACCTCTCTTTGCGAGTAAGGTCGTCATCTAGGGTTAAGGGTCAACGACTGACGTCATCAACTGAAAACAATGGCCGTACTAATATAAACAACTTGAATTAAGTCTGTGTCCGATGCATAAAACTGATGACAGCATAGTATCTAGTCGCTTCAGTATTTGACATTTTCATGTGGCCTCGTCCAGTCGATAAAATCAATCAGTTAGTTCAGTCGAATAATCCAGTCGAATAAACCAGTCGAAAAGTTCAGTCGAATAAACAAGTCGCTCAATATTAAGCAGCGGTGGCAGCGGGCTAAGATAATATAGTAGCAAATCATGCTCGTAGCCATAGCTGAAGGAGCCGGGGGCATGGGGTAGGGACCGGGGGGCTTCCCAACTAATTTCAAGAAATGAAAAGAAATGAAATGGGGGTTCAACGTCCTTTTGTTCTGCTTGGAACTGGGCTAATGAAGACGGGCATACGCCATACACTGTGCGATGAGGGAAATTTTGCCCGGACAGCGGCACTACGGCCTACTCTTATATCGAATTCCATCTGTCAAAGGGATCTTTTACGTCCACTCCAATGTGCACACGGGACCTCGGTTTTTCGTCCCATCCGAAAGACTAGACAGCTGTCCTTGTCCGCCTCGAAAAGAATAGAGTCCCTATATATGATATGAACGAAGAAAGGGGATGGGGTGGGGCGGGGATGGGGTGGGGGGGATAAGGTATTTGACATTTTCATGTGGCCTCGTCCAGTCGATAAAACCAGTCAGTTAGTTCAGTCGAATAATCCAGTCGAATAAACCAGTCGAATAATTCAGTCGAATAAACCAGTCGAATAGTTCAGTCGAATAATTCAGTCGAATAAACAAGTCGCTCAATATTAAGCAGCGGGCTAAGATAATATGGTAGCAAATCATGCTCGTAGACATAGCTGAAGGAGCCGGGGCATGGGGTAGGGACCGGGGGGCTTCCCAACTAGTTTCAAGAAATGAAAAGAAATGAAATGGGGGTTCAACGTCCTTCTGTTCTGCTTGGAACTGGGCTAATGAAGACGGGCATACGCCATACACTGTGCTATGATGGAAATTTTGCCCGGACAGCGGCACTACGGCCTACTCTTTTATCGAATTCCATCTGTCAAGGGATCTTTTACGTCCACTCCAATATATACACGGGACCTCGGTTTTTCGTCCCATCCGAACGACCAGACAGCTGTACTTGTCCGCCTCGAAAAGAATAGAGTCCCTATATATGATATGAACGTAGAAAGGGGATGGGGTGGGGCGGGGATGAGGTATTTGACATTTTCATGTGGCCTCGTCCAGTCGATAAAACCAGTCAGTTAGTTCAGTCGAATAATCCAGTCGAATAAACCAGTCGAATAATTCAGTCGAAAAGTTCAGTCGAATAAACCAGTCGAATAGTTCAGTCGAATAATTCAGTCGAATAAACAAGTCGCTCAATATTAAGCAGCGGGCTAAGATAATATGGTAGCAAATCATGCTCGTAGACATAGCTGAAGGAGCCGGGGCATGGGGTAGGGACCGGGGGGCTTCCCAACTAGTTTCAAGAAATGAAAAGAAATGAAATGGGGGTTCAACGTCCTTCTGTTCTGCTTGGAACTGGGCTAATGAAGACGGGCATACGCCATACACTGTGCTATGATGGAAATTTTGCCCGGACAGCTGCACTACGGCCTACTCTTTTATCGAATTCCATCTGTAAAGGGATCTTTTACGTCCACTCCAATATATACACGGGACCTCGGTTTTTCGTCCCATCCGAACGACCAGACAGCTGTACTTGTCCGCCTCGAAAGGAATAGAGTCCCTATATATGATATGAACGTAGAAAGGTGATGGGGTGGGGCGGGGGATGAGGTATTTGACATTTTCATGTGGCCTCGTCCAGTCGATAAAACCAGTCAGTTAGTTCAGTCGAATAATCCAGTCGAATAAACCAGTCGAAAAGTTCAGTCGAATAAACCAGTCGAATAGTTCAGTCGAATAATCCAGTCGAATAATTCAGTCGAATAAACAAGTCGCTCAATATTAAGCAGCGGTGGCAGCGGGCTAAGATAATATAGTAGCAAATCATGCTCGTAGCCATAGCTGAAGGAGCCGGGGCATGGGGTAGGGACCGGGGGGCTTCCCAACTAGTTTCAAGAAATGAAATGGGGTTTAACGTCCTTCTGTTCTGCTTGGAACTGGGCTAATGAAGACGGGCAGACGCCATAAACTGTGCGATGAGGGAAATTTTGCCCGGACAGCGGCACTACGGCCTACTCTTATATCGAATTCCATCTGTCAAAGGGATCTTTTACGTCCACTCCAATGTAGACACGGGACCTCGGTTTTTCGTCCCATCCGAAAGACTAGACAGCTGTCCTTGTCCGCCTCGAAAAGAATAGAGTCCCTATATATGATATAAACGAAGAAAGGGGATGGGGTGGGGCGGGGGTGGGGGGGATGAGGTATTTGACATTTTCATGTGGCCTCGTCCAGTCGATAAAACCAGTCAGTTAGTTCAGTCGAATAATCCAGTCGAATAAACCAGTCGAATAATTCAGTCGAAAAGTTCAGTCGAATAAACCAGTCGAATAGTTCAGTCGAATAATTCAGTCGAATAAACAAGTCGCTCAATATTAAGCAGCGGTGGCAGCGGGCTAAGATAATATAGTAGCAAATCATGCTCGTAGCCATAGCTGAAGGAGCCGGAGGCATGGGGTAGTGACCGGGGGGCTTCCCAACTAGTTTCAAGAAATGAAAAGAAATGAAATGGGGTTTTAACGTCCTACTGTTCTGCTTGGAACTGGGCTAATGAAGACGGGCAGACGCCATACACTGTGCGATGAGGGAAATTTTGCCCGGACAGCGGCACTACGGCCTACTCTTATATCGAATTCCATCTGTCAAAGGGATCTTTTACGTCCACTCCAATGTATACACGGGACCTCGGTTTTTCGTCCCATCCGAAAGACTAGACAGCTGTCCTTGTCCGCCTCGAAAAGAATAGAGTCCCTATATATGATATAAACGAAGAAACGGATGGGGTGGGGCGGGGGTGGGGGGGGGATGAGGTATTTGACATTTTCATGTGGCATCGTCCAGTCGATAAAATCAGTCAGTTAGTTCAGTCGAATAATCCAGTCGAATAAACCAGTCGAATAATTCAGTCGAAAAGTTCAGTCGAATAAACCAGTCGAATAGTTCAGTCGAATAATTCAGTCGAATAATCCAGTCGAATAATTCAGTCGAATAAACAAGTCGCTCAATATTAAGCAGCGGTGGCAGCGGGCTAAGATAATATAGTAGCAAATCATGCTCGTAGCCATAGCTGAAGGAGCCGGGGGCATGGGGTAGGGACCGGGGGGCTTTCCAACTAGTTTCAAGAAATGAAATGGGGTTTAACGTCCTTCTGTTCTGCTTGGAACTGGGCTAATGAAGACGGGCAGACGCCATACACTGTGCGATGAGGGAAATTTTGCCCGGACAGCGGCACTACGGCCTACTCTTATATCGAATTCCATCTGTCAAAGGGATCTTTTACGTCCACTCCAATGTAGACACGGGACCTCGGTTTTTCGTCCCATCCGAAAGACTAGACAGCTGTCCTTGTCCGCCTCGAAAAGAATAGAGTCCCTATATATGATATAAACGAAGAAAGGGGATGGGGTGTGGCGGGGGTGGGGGGGATGAAGTATTTGACATTTTCATGTGGCCTCGTCCAGTCGATAAAACCAGTCAGTTAGTTCAGTCGAATAATCCAGTCGAATAAACCAGTCGAATAATTCAGTCGAAAAGTTCAGTCGAATAAACCAGTCGAATAGTTCAGTCGAATAATTCAGTCGAATAATCCAGTCGAATAATTCAGTCGAATAAACAAGTCGCTCAATATTAAGCAGCGGTGGCAGCGGGCTAAGATAATATAGTAGCAAATCATGCTCGTAGCCATAGCTGAAGGAGCCGGGGGCATGGGGTAGGGACCGGGGGGCTTCCCAACTAGTTTCAAGAAATGAAATGGGGTTTAACGTCCTTCTGTTCTGCTTGGAACTGGGCTAATGAAGACGGGCAGACGCCATACACTGTGCGATGAGGGAAATTTTGCCCGGACAGCGGCACTACGGCCTACTCTTATATCGAATTCCATCTGTCAAAGGGATCTTTTACGTCCACTCCAATGTAGACACGGGACCTCGGTTTTTCGTCCCATCCGAAAGACTAGACAGCTGTCCTTGTCCGCCTCGAAAAGAATAGAGTCCCTATATATGATATAAACGAAGAAAGGGGATGGGGTGTGGCGGGGGTGGGGGGGATGAAGTATTTGACATTTTCATGTGGCCTCGTCCAGTCGATAAAACCAGTCAGTTAGTTCAGTCGAATAATCCAGTCGAATAAACCAGTCGAATAATTCAGTCGAAAAGTTCAGTCGAATAAACCAGTCGAATAGTTCAGTCGAATAATCCAGTCGAATAATTCAGTCGAATAAACAAGTCGCTCAATATTAAGCAGCGGTGGCAGCGGGCTAAGATAATATAGTAGCAAATCATGCTCGGAGCCATAGCTGAAGGAGCCGGGGGCATGGGGTAGGGACCGGGGGGCTTCCCAACTAGTTTCAAGAAATGAAAAGAAATGAAATGGGGTTTAACGTCCTTCTGTTCTGCTTGGAACTGGGCTAATGAAGACGGGC